AGGAGTTGGAGACGCTGCTGCTGAGACTGGAGCGTGCCACTAAGAGGTGGGGCCTTACCATCAGCCCCACCAAAACTAAGCACCTGCCTGGGTATTTTGTACCATCGGACCCTCCACCCCCACAACTCCCAATCGGTGATGGGGCAGTTGTGGAGAGAGTGGAGAGTTTCCCATACCTGGGCAGTGTGCTTATGACTGGCTCCAGTTTAACAGCAGAGGTCTCACTCTGAATCAGTCGAGCGGCAATATCTTTTCATCGGTTGCGTAACGCTGTGTGGAAGCTACCTGGTCTGTCGCTCCGCACTAAGCTTCAGGTCTTCTCGGCCACGGTCATTCCCTCCCTTCTCTACGCTTGTGAAACGTGGACCCCCCTAATGGAACATCTTCGCCGGTTAGAAACATTTAGGCTGGCCTGCCTACGATCCATCCTGGGTTTAACCAGACTGGATTGTGTGAGGAGCTCACAAATCCTTGAAAGATCTGGGCAGGGTCCCATCGGTGAGCTCCTCCGGCAGGCAAGGCTGCGATGGCTGGGTCATGTAGCCCGCATGCCCAGCCACCGCATGCCGAAACAGCTTTTGTTTGGCCGGATTGAGGGGGCTAGGCGGGCGCGGCACGGGCTAGAGAAGAGATGGAGTGATGTGGTACAGGAGGACGTGGAGCTGAGTGGACTTGCCGATGACTGGTACCAGCGGTGTCAAGATCGGCCTCTGTGGAGGAGGCTCGTGAAGGATGCTACTGGGCAGTTGGAGGCAGTCGCCCTCCAACAACAACGGAGGGCGGAGGAGCGACGCTCACAACAGCGAGCGGAGCGCCGGGTGGCTAAAGCACAGCAGGTTGGCACAGTAGGGGGCACAGGTGGTGCATCAGCCAGTCATCTCAGTCAGTCGACCCGTGGCACCTGGGTCTGCCCCGTGACCTCCTGCCAGCGGGCTTTCGACACTTCACGTGGCCTCAGGGTGCACATAGCCTGGCACAAGCGTCGTGGTGACGTCACCGCCACTTAGTGGCGAATGGCGGTTGTTGTTGTTGTGGTAGTGTGTGTGTGGGGGTGTGTGTGTGGTGGTGTGTGTGTGTGGTGTGTGTGGTGGTGTGTGTGTGGTGGTGTGTATGTGGTGGTGTGTGTGTGGTGTGTGTGGTGGTGTGTGTGTGTGGTGGTGTGTGTGGTGTGTGTGGTGGTGTGTGTAGTGGTGTGTGTGTGTGTGTGGTGTGTGTGTGGTGGTGTATGTGTGGTGGTGTGTGTGTGGTGTGTGTGGTAGTGTGTGTGTGGTGGTGTGTGTGTGTGGTGTGTGTGTGGAGTGTGTGTGGTGGTGTGTGTGGTGTGTGGTGGTATGTGTGTGGTGGTGGTGTGTGGTTGTGTGTGTGGGTGGTGGTGTGTGGTGTGTGTGTGGTGGTGCGTCTGTGGTGGTGTGTGTGTGGTAGTGTGTGTGTGGTGGTGTGTGTGTAGTGTGTGTGGTTATGTGTGTGTGTGGTGGTGTGTGTGTGGGTGTGGTGTGTGTGTGGTGTGTGTGTGGTGGTGTGTGGGTGTGTGGTGGGGGTGTGGTGTGTGTGGTGGTGTGTGTGTGGTGTGTGTTTGTGGTGGTGTGTTTGTGGTGGTGTGTGGTGGTGTGTGTGTGTGTGTGGTGTGTGGTGTGTGTGTGGTGGTGTGTGTGGTGGTGTGTGTGGTAGTGTGTGGTGGTGTGTGTGTGGTGGTGTGTGGTGGTGTGTGTGGTGGTGTGTGTGGTGGTGTGTGTTGTGTTGTGTGTGGTGGTGTGTGTGTGTGATGTGTGTGTGGTGGTGTGTGTGTGTGGTGGTGTATGTGTGGTGGTGTGTGTGTGGTGTGTGTGGTAGTGTGTGTGTGGTGTGTGTTTGTGTGGGGTGTGTGTGGAGTGTGTGTGGTGGTGTGTGTGTGGTGGTGTGTGTGGTGTGTGTGTGTGGTGTGTGTGTGGTGTGTGTGTGGTGGTGTGTGTGGTGGTGTGTTTGTGGTGTGTGTGTGGTGTGTGTGTGTGGTGGTGTGTGTGTGTGTGGTGTGTGTGTGGTGGTGTGTGTGGTGGTGTGTGTTTGTGTGGTGTGTGTGTGGTCGTGTATGTGTGGTGGTGTGTGTGTGGTGGTGTGTGTGTGTGGTGTGTGTGGTGGTGTGTGTGTGGTGGTGTGTGTGTGGTGGTTTGTGTGTGGTGTGTGTGGTAGTGTGTGTGTGTGTGTGTGGTGTGTGTTTGTGTGGTGTGTGTGTGGAGTGTGTGTGGTGGTGTGTGTGTGGTGTGTGTGTGGTGGTGTGTGTGTGGTTTGTGTGTGTGGTGGTGTGTGGTGGTGTGTGTGTGGTGGTGTGTGGTGTGTGTGTGGTGTGTGTGTGGTGGTGTGTGTGGTGGTGTGTGGTGGTGGTGTGTGTGGTGGTGTGTGTGGTGTTTGTGGTGGTGGTGTGTGTGGTGGTGTGTGTGTGTGGTGGTGTGTGTGTGTGTGTGTGGTGTGTGTGTGGTGGTGTGTGTGGTGGTGTGTGTGTGTGGTGTGTGTGTGGTGGTGTATGTGTGGTGGTGTGTGTGTGGTGTGTGTGGTAGTGTGTGTGTGGTGTGTGTTTGTGTGGGGTGTGTGTGGAGTGTGTGTGGTGGTGTGTGTGTGGTTTGTGTGGTGGTGTGTGTGTGGTGTGTGTGTGGTGTGTGTGTGGTGGTGTGTGTGGTGGTGTGTTTGTGGTGTGTGTGTGGTGTGTGTGTGTGGTGGTGTGTGTGTGTGTGTTGTGTGTGTGGTGGTGTGTGTGGTGGTGTGTGTTTGTGTGGTGTGTGTGTGGTCGTGTATGTGTGGTGGTGTGTGTGTGGTGGTGTGTGTGTGTGGTGTGTGTGGTGGTGTGTGTGTGGTGGTGTGTGTGTGGTGGTTTGTGTGTGGTGTGTGTGTGTGTGTGTGGTGTGTGTTTGTGTGGTGTGTGTGTGGAGTGTGTGTGGTGGTGTGTGTGTGGTGTGTGTGTGGTGGTGTGTGTGTGGTTTGTGTGTGTGGTGGTGTGTGGTGGTGTGTGTGTGGTGGTGTGTGGTGTGTGTGTGGTGTGTGTGTGGTGGTGTGTGTGGTGGTGTGTGGTGGTGGTGTGTGTGGTGGTGTGTGTGGTGTTTGTGGTGGTGGTGTGTGTGGTGGTGTGTGTGTGTGGTGGTATGTGTGTGTGGTGGTTTGTGTGTGGTGGTGTGTGTGTGTGTGTAGCGGTTAGCGCGCTGCGCTATGAAACTGACGACCCGGGTTCGATTCCCGCTCATGGCCAACACCAGTGACGATTATCTGAACCGGTCCCGGGCCTCCCCTAGGTCGACTCAGCCTCAAATGAGTACCTGGTTTGGTGTAAACATTGCCACTGGGGAGACAAAGGCGGTCGGGCGTGGTGCTGGCCACCCACCCCCTCGTGTACCGTTCCGGCCTTCATAGGTGCTCCGTAGCAGCACTTGCCCCAACAGTCTGTTAAGGCTATATGGGGGTTCTTTGTATTTTTTGTGTGGTTGTGTGTGTGGTTGTGTGTGTGTGATTGATGTGGTGTGTTGTTGAGTGTGTGGTTGATGTGAGCTCCTCACACAATCCAGCCTGGTTACTTCCAGGATGGATCGTAGGCAGGCCAGCCTAAATGTTTCTAACCGGCGAAGATGTTCCATTAGGGGGTTCCACGTTTCGCAAGCGTAGAGAAGGGAGGGGATGACCGTGGCCGAGAAGACCTCAAGCGTAGTGCGGAGCGACAGACCAGGAAGCTTCCACACAGCGTTACTCAACCGATGAAAAGATATTGCCGCTCGACTGATTCGGAGTGAGACCTCTGCTCTTAAACTGGAGCGGGTCACAAATCCTCACAAATCCTTGAAAGATCTGGGCAAGGTCCCATCGGTGAGCTCCTCCGGCAGGCAAGGCTGCGTTGGCTGGGTCATGTAGCCCGCATGCCCAGCCACCGCATGCCGAAACAGCTTTTGTTCGTCCGGATCGAGGGGGCTAAACGGGCGCGGCACGGGCTAGAGAAGAGATGGAGTGATGTGGTACAGGAGGACGTGGAGCTGAGTGGACTTGCCGATGACTGGTACCAGCGGTGTCAAGATGGCCTCTGTGGAGGAGGCTCGTGAAGGACGCTACTGGGCAGTTGGAGGCAGTCGCCCTCCAACAACAACGGAGGGCGGAAGAGCGACGCTCACAACAACGAGCGGAGCGCCGGGTAGCTAAAGCATAGCAGGTTGGCATAGTAGGGGGCACAGGTGGTGCATCAGCCAGTCATCTCAGTCATCTCAATCAGTCGACCCGTGGCACTTGGGTCTGCCCCGTGACCTCCTGCTGGGTCTGCCCTGTGACCTCCTGCCAGCGGGCATTCGACACTTCACGTGGCCTCAAGGTGCACATGGTCTGGCACAAGCGTCGTGGTGACGTCACCGCCACTTAGTGGCGAATGGCGGTTGTTGTTGTTGTTGATGTGGTGGTGGTGGTTGATGTGGTGTGTGTGTGTGGTTGTGTGTGTGTTTGATGTGGTGGTGGTTGATGTGTGTGGTTGTGTGTGTGGTTGTGTGTGTGGTTGTGTGTGTGGTTGTGTGTGTGTTTGATGTGGTGGTGGTTGATGTGTGTGGCTGTGTGTGTGGTTGTGTGTGTGTTTGATGTGGTGGTGTGGTTGTGTGTGGTTGTGTGTGTGGTTGTGTGTGTGGTTATGTTTGTGGTTGTGTGTGTGTTTGATGTGGTGGTGTGGTTGTGTGTGGTTGTGTGTGTGGTTGTGTGTGTGGTTGTGTGTGTGTTTGATGTGGTCGTGTGGTTGTGTGTGGTTTTGTGTGTGGGCTTGTGTGTGGTTGTGTGTGTGTTTGATGTGGTGGTGTGTGGTTGTGTGGGTGGTTGCGTGTGTGTGGTTGTGTGTGTGGTTGTGTTTGTGGTTGTGTGTGTGTGTTTGATGTGGTGGTGTGGTTGTGTGTGGTTGCGTGTGTGGTGCGATGTGGCTGATGTGGTATGTGGTGGTGGTTGTTGTTGTGGTTATTCTTGTTGTGGTTATTGTTGTTGTGGTTGTTTTGTGGTTGTTGTTATTGTTGTGGCTGCAGGAGTCCCCGGAGCGCTGGTGGCGCAGGCCGCCATGCTGAAACGGAAACAAAGTTCACGACTCGAGTCCCAGGCCGTGACCGACTTCGGGCCCGACGAGAACCTCGTGGACAACGCGGACATCGTGTGGATTAACAAGCCCGTGAGTGACTCACACTGGGGGTGGACTCACACTGGGGGTGGACACACACTGGGGGTGGACAACGAGGACATCGTGTGGATCAACAAGCCCATGAGTGACTCACACTGGGGGTGGACTCACACTGGGGGTGGACACACACTAGGGGTGGACAACGAGGACATCGTGTGGATCAACAAGCCCGTGAGTGACTCACACTGGGGGTGGACTCACACGGGGGGTAGACACACACTGGGGGTGGACACACACTGGGGGTGGACTCACACGGGGGGTGGACAACGAGGACATCGTGTGGATCAACAAGCCCGTGAGTGACTCACACTGGGGGTGGACTCACACGGGGGGTAGACACACACTGGGGGTGGACACACACTGGGGGTGGACTCACACGGGGGGTGGACAACGAGGACATCGTGTGGATCAACAAGCCCGTGAGTGACTCACACTGGGGGTGGACTCACACGGGGGTGGACAATGAGGACATCGTGTGGATCAACAAGCCCGTGAGTGACTCCCTAGGGGGTGGACACACACTGGGGGTGGACTCACACGGGGGGTGGACAATGAGGACATCGTGTGGATCAACAAGCCCGTGAGTGACTCCCTAGGGGGTGGACACACACTGGGGGTGGACAATGAGGACATCGTGTGGATCAACAAGCCCGTGAGTGACTCACACTGGGGGTGGACTCACACGGGAGGTGGACAATGAGGACATCGTGTGGATCAACAAGCCCGTGAGTGACTCCCTAGGGGGTGGACACACACTGGGGGTGGACTCACACGGGGGGTGGACAATGAGGACATCGTGTGGCTCAACAAGCCCGTGAGTGACTCCCTAGGGGGTGGACACACACTGGGGGTGGACTCACACTGGGGGTGGACTCACACTGGGGGTAGACACACACTGGGGGTGGACACACACAGGGGGTGGACTCACACTGGGGGTGACACGCGGCCTCTGCTACTCACTAACCACGGCACTTGCCCCGACGTTCCATTAGAGGCTACGCAGAGGAACCTTTGTCTTTGTGGTTCCTAGCCACCCACAACACCCACCCAAACCCCCCACACCACACACACCACCCACCCACTCACCCACTCACCCACTCACCCACCCACACCCCCCACCCACCAACCACTCACCCACCCACCCACTCACTCACCCACTCACCCACCCACTCATCCACTTACCCACCCACCCACCCAATCACCCACCCACCCACCCACTTACCCACCCACCCACACAACCCACCCACACCCCCCACACCACCCACACCACCCACCCACACCCCCCTCACCATCCACCCCACCCACTGACCAAACCACCCACCTACCCACCAACCCACTCACTCACCCACCCACCCATCCACCCACTCACCCATCCATCCACCCACTCACCCACTCACCCACCCACACAAAGACCTCGATCTGTACTCTTTGGTTCTATTCGGTAAAGTCACGTAGGTAAAAAAGTAAAACAACAAAAATCACGACGTTTCGGCCACAACACAAGTGGCCTTCATCAGGTGAAGGGGACCGTACTGTCACGAGGACAGTGTTGGAGTGAAGAAGACAGTCCAGCCCAGGTCGCGTCCTTTTAAGCTGTGTGGGAGGAAACAAAACGCTTTAACAACGGAATTAGCATAAAATGACCAAAAAGCACAAGAGGACCGGCACGGTGGGGGGGGGGGGGGGGGGGGGGGGGGGAGTTTACAAATGTAGGTGTGAAGTGAAATAAGCTTCTATGAAAGTTTGGTATGTCACTATTTGGATAAATACCATTGAAAATTAGTTTTAATGTTTGGTATGATTTAGAACATCTTTCCAATGCTTGCTTAATTTGAAAGCATCTTCTCGGTTGAAATTGTGTCTGTGTTTGTAGATCTGAATTGCCTCGTGGATAAATCTTTGATGAAAACCCGTGGGTTTGCAAAGGACCTTGGTATCGGAGAAAACTATATCGTGATCCCCCGCAGCGTTGTAACAGTGATCAGCCACGGCAGAAGAATTCGTTTTGCCGTGTTTCAGATCTGATTTGTGCTCGCGAATTCGGTCAGAGACATGTCGCTTCGTCTCCCCGATATAGCAGTCACCGCAGGTGCAGCTCAATTTGTAAACCCCGGGGTACCGTAAGTCGATCTGTGTGCCCTTCCTTGGCAGTGGGTCCACACGCTTCTCCGCATCAGCGCCATCGTGAGCGTCACCTCGGTGTGCATGAACACGCCGCGCTCCTTCTCCGACTGCCCCTCGCTGCAGGTGGCCACGGCCGCCACCGACACCACGCTGCTGCTCCTCTTCACCGCAGAGATGATCGCCAAGATTCACGTGCGGGGCATCCTCAGGGTGAGGGGAGGGGAGGGGGGGGCAGGGGGGGAGTGGTGGGGGGAGTGGGATCGGGGGTGGTACGGGGTCAGTCTATAGGGTCAGGCTATGGGGTCAGGCTCCGGGGTCAGGCTATGGGGTCAGGCTCCGGGGTCAGGCTACGGGGTCAGGCTATGGGGTCAAGTTATGAGGTCAGGCTATGGGGTCAGGCTATGGGGTCAGGCTATGGGGTCAGGCTATGGGGTCAGGGTACAGGGTAAGGCTATGGGATCAGGCTATGGGGTCAGGATATGGGGTCAGGCTATGGGGTCAGGGTACGGGGTCAGGCGACGGGGTCAGGCTATGGGGTCAGGCTATGGGGTCAGGCTATTGGGTCAGGCTATGGGGTCAGGGTACGGGGTCAGGCTGCGGGGTCAGGCTATGGGGTCAGGCTATGGGGTCAGGCTATGGGGTCAGGGTACGGGGTCAGGCTGCGGGGTCAGGCTATGGGGTCAGGCTATGGGGTCAGGCTAAGGGGTCAGGGTACGGGGTCAGACTATGGGGTCAAGCTACGGGGTCAGGCTATGGGGTCAGGCTATGGGGTCAGGCTATGGGGTCAGGCTATGGGGTCAGGGTACGGGGTCAGGCTGCGGGGTCAGGCTATGGGGTCAGGCTCTGGGGTCAGGCTATGGGGTCAGGGTACGGGGCCAGGCTATGGGGTCAAGCTACGGGGTCAGGCTATGGGGTCAGGCTATGGGGTTCGTGCTTCGCCAACGGCACTTGCCCCAACGCCCTCGCCAGCCTACCTTGGTGAACCTTTGTCTCTGTGTGCGCCACGTTGGGGAGCGGTGGCGCAGCGGTTAGCGCATCGGCAGGGGCCCGGGGTTGAACTCTCGCTCACCGCCACCGCCGGCGATTACCACGGTCCTGGGCCTCCCTTAGGTCGACTCAGCCTCAAAACAAGTACCTGGTGCTGTGTGTAGTAGTGAACGTCGCCACTGGGGAGACAAAGGCGGCCGGGCGTGGTGCTGGTAGCCACCCACCCCCTCGTGTGCCACAGTGCCGGTAGCCTTCATAGGTGCTGCTCGCTAACAGCACTTGCCCCTACAGTCTGTTAGAGGCTACACGGGGGACCTTTGTCTGTGTCTACCTTCACAGGCGCTGCTGCTACTCGCTACTCACAGCACTTGCCCCTACAGCCTGTTAGAGGCTACACGGGGGACCATTGTCTGTGTCTACCTTCATAGGTGCTGCTGCTACTCGCAACTAACAGCACTTGCCCCTACAGCCTGTTAGAGGCTACACGGGGGACCTTTGTCTGTGTCTACCTTCATAGGTGCTGCTGCTGCTACTCGCTACTAAAAGCACTTGTCCTTACAGCCTGTTAGAGGCTAAACGGGGGATCTTTTTCTTTGTGTGTTATAGGCGCTGCTGCTACTCGCTAACAGCACTTGCCCCTGCAGTCTGTTAAGGCTACACGGGGGATCTTTGTCTTTGCCTGTCCACGTGTCCTGTGCAGGGAGAGAACCCATACCTCAAGGACCGCTGGTGCGTGTTTGATGGCTTCATGGTGCTCTTCCTGTGGGTGTCGCTCGTCCTGCAGGTAACGTCTCATCACAATCACTACCATCATCACCACCATCATCATCACAACCATCATCATCACAACCATCATTACCATCATCATCACAATCACTACCATCATCACCACCACCATCATCATAACCATCATAACCATCATCACCACCACCACCATCATCACAACCATCATAACCATCATCATCACAATCATCATCACCATCATAACCATCATCATCACCATCACTACCACCATCATCATCATCACCACCATCATCATCACAACCATCATCATCACAACCATCATTACCATCATCATCACAATCACTACCATCATCACCACCACCATCATCATAACCATCATAACCATCATCACCACCACCACCATCATCACAACCATCATAACCATCATCATCACAATCATCATCACCATCATAACCATCATCATCACCATCACTACCACCATCATCATCATCACCACCACCATCATAACCATCATCATCACTACCACCATCATCACCATGATCATCACAATCACTAACATCATCACCACCATCATCACCATGATCATCACCATCACTACCATCATCACCACCACCACCATCATCACCATCATCACAACCATCATAACCATCATCATCACCATCATTATCATCACCATCATAACCATCATCATCATCACCACCACCATCATCACCATCATAACCATCATCATCACCATCACTAACACCATCACTACCACCATGATCATCCCCATCACTACCACCATCATCATCACCATCACTACCACCATCATCACCATCACTACCACCATCATCATCACCATCACTACCACCATCATCATCACTATCATCACAACCATCATAACCATCATCATCACCATCATAACCATCATCATCATCATCACCATCATCATCACTACCACCATCATAACCATCACTACCACCACCACCATCATCATCACCATCATAACCATCATCATCACCATCATCATCACTACCACCATCATAACCATCATCATCACCATCATCATCACTACCACCATCATAACCATCATCATCACCATCATCACTACCACCATCATAACCATCATCACCATCACTACCACCATGATCATCACCATCACTACCACCATGATCATCACTATCACTACCACCATCATCACCATCACTACCACCATCATCACCATCACCACCACGATCATTACCACCATGATCATCCCCATCACTACCACCATGATCATCACCATCACTACCACCATGATCATCACCATCACTACCACCATCATCCCCATCACTACCACCATCATCACCATCATCAATACAACCATGATCATCACCATCACTACAACCATGATCATCATCATCACTACCACCATCATCACCATCACTACCACCATCATCACCATCATCATCACCATCACCACCACCATCACTACCAAAATGATCATCACCATCACTACCACCATGATCATCCCCATCACTACCACCATGATCATCACCATCACTACAACCATGATCATCACCATCACTACCACCATCATCATCACCATCACTACCACGATCATCATCATCATAACCATCATCAGCATCACCATCATCATCACTACCACCATCACCACCATGATCATCACCATCACTACCACCATCATCACCATCATCAAAACCATCATCCCCACCACCATCACACACCCACACTTGTGTGGGTGTTTCCGTGTGTCTCTGTGTCCGCGTGTCTCTGTGTCTCTGTGTCCGCGTGTCTCTGTGTCTGTGTGTCTCTGTGTCTGTGTGTCTCTGTGTCTCTGTGTCCGCGTGTCTCTGTGTCTGTGTCTATGTGTCTCTGTGTGTCTGTTTGTGTGTGTCTGTGTGTCAGTGTGTCTGTGTGTCTTTGTGTCGGTGTGTTTCTGTCTGTGTGTCTCTGTGTCTCTGTGTCTCTGTGTCCGCGTGTCTCTGTGTCTCTGTGTCTCTGTGTCCGCGTGTCTCTGTGTCTCTGTGTCTGTGTATCTGTGTGTCTCTGTGTCTCTGTGTCTGTGTGTCTGTGTGTCTCTGTGTCTCTGTGTCTCTGTGTCTGTGTGTCTCTGTGTGTCTGTGTGTCTGTGTGTCTGTGTGTCTGTGTGTCTCTGTGTCTGTGTGTCTGTGTGTCTCTGTGTCTCTGTGTCTGTGTGTCTCTGTGTCTCTGTGTCTGTGTGTCTCTGTGTGTGTCTGTGTCTCTGTGTCTGTGTGTCTCTGTGTCTCTGTGTCTGCATCTCTGTGTGTGTGTGTCTCTGCGTCTCTGTGTCTGCGTGTCTCTGTGTCTGTGTGTCTCTGTGTCTCTGTGTCTGTGTGTCTCTGTGTCTCTGTGTCCGCGTGTCTCTGTGTCTGTGTCTCTGTGTCTGTGTGTCTCTGTGTCTGTGTGTCTGTGTGTCTGTGTGTCTTTGTGTCGGTGTGTTTCTGTCTGTGTCTCTGTGTCTCTGTGTCTCTGTGTCCGCGTGTCTCTGTGTCTCTGTGTCTCTGTGTCCGCGTGTCTCTGTGTCTCTGTGTCTGTGTGTCTGCGTGTCTCTGTGTCTCTGTGTCTGTGTGTCTGTGTGTCTCTGTGTCTCTGTGTCTGTGTGTCTCTGTCTGTGTGTCTCTGTGTCTGTGTGTCTGTGTGTCTGTGTGTCTCTGTGTCTGTGTGTCTCTGTGTCTGTGTGTCAGTGTGTCTGCGTGTCTCTGTGTCTGTGTGTCTCTGTGTCTCTGTGTCTGCATCTCTGTGTGTGTGTGTCTCTGTGTCTCTGTGTCTGTGTGTCTGTGTGTCTGTGTATGTGTGTCTGTGTGTCTCTGTGTCTGTCTGTGTGTCTCTGTGTCTGTGTGTCTCTGTGTCTCTGTGTCTGTGTGTCTGTGTGTCTGTGTGTCTCTGTCTCTGCGTCTCTGTGTCTCTGTGTCTCTGTGTCTGCGTCTGTGTGCCTCTGTGTCTGTGTGTCTCTGTGTCCGCGTGTCCCTGCGTCTCTGTGTCTGTGTGTCTGAACCGGTCCTGGGCCACCCCTAGGTAGACTCAGCCTTAAATGAGTACCTGGTGCGGCGCGTAAACATCGCCACTGGGGAGACAAAGTTGGTCGGGCGTGGTGCTGGTAGCCACCCACCCCCCTCGTGCACCGTTCCGGCCTTCATAGGCGCTGCTCGCTAACAGCACTTGCCCCTACAGTCTGCTAGAGGCTACACGGGGGATCTTTGTCTGTCTACCTTCACAGGTGCTGCTGCTACTCGCTACTCACAGCACTTGCCCCTACAGCCCGTTAGAGGCTGCACGGGAGACCTTTGTCTGTGTCTACCTTTACAGGTGCTGCTGCTACTCGCTACTCACAGCACTTGCCCCTACAGCCTGTTAGAGGCTACACGGGGGACCTTTGTCTGTGTCTACCTTCACAGGCGTTGCTGCTACTCGCTACTCACAGCACTTGCCCCTACAGTCTGTTAGAGGCTACACGGGGGACCTTTGTCTGTGTCTACCTTCACAGGCGCTGCTGCTACTCGCTACTCACAGCACTTGCCCCTACAGCCTGTTAGAGGCTACACGGGGGATCTTTGTCTTTGCGTGTCTGTGTGTCCGTGCATGGGAGCAGGTGTTTGAGATCGCAGGCACGGTCCATGATCGCTCCCCGTTACGAATGCTGAGAATTCCCCGGCCTCTCATCATGATCCGCTCGTTCCGCGTCTACTTCCGCTTCGAGCTACCACGGACTCGCATCACCAACATCCTCAAGTGAGACTCCTCACCTACTCACTCACCTACTCACTCACCTACCCACTCACTCACTCACCTACTCACTCACTCACTTACCTACTCACTCACCTATTCACTCACTCACTCACTCACCTACTCACTCACCTACTCACTCACTCACCTACTCACTCACTCACTCACCTACTCACTCACCCACTCACCTACTCACTCACCCACTCACCTACTCACTCACTCACCTACTCACTCACTCACCTACTCACTCACCTACTCACTCACTCACCTACTCACTCACCTACTCACTCACTCACCTACTCACTCACCTACTCACTCACCTACTCACTCACCTACTCACTCACTCACTCACCTACTCACTCACTCACCTACTCACCTACTCACTCACTCACCTACTCACTCACTCACCTACTCACTCACTCACTCACCTACTCACTCACTCACCTACTCACTCACTCACCTACTCACTCACTCACTCACCTACTCACTCACCTACTCACTCACTCACCTACTTACTTACTCACTCACCCACTCACTCAGATTCCTTCGGCGGGGGGGTGGGGGGGTGCGCAAGGAGTCTGGGCTCCTCCGCCATGGGAACGTGGAATTGCCGCCGCGTCTGAGCGTGCGTGGGGGTGTGTCGGGACAGGCGCTCGGGCGAACAGATCTGGAGCGTGTCCATCTTCTTACTCTTCTTCCTGCTCCTCTACGGCATCCTGGGGGTGCAGATGTTTGGAACGTTCAGCCACCACTGCGTGACCAACGACACGGAGCCCGGGTGAGGAGACACGCGGGGAGACACGGGGGGAGAAGATACGGGGGGAGAAGACACGGGGGGAGACACGCGGGGAGACACGGGGAGACACACAAGGAGACACACGGGGAGACACACGGGGAGAAGACACGGGGGCATAGGGGAGACACGGGGAGACACGGGGAGACGCGGGGGGAGACACACGGGGAGACACACGGGGAGACACGGGGGCATGGGGGAGACACGGGGAGACGCAAGGGCATGGGGGAGACACGGGGAGACGCGGGGGGAGAGACACGGGGAGACACACGGGGAGGCACGCGGCGAGACACGGGGACATGGTGGAGACACGGGGGGGGGGGGTGGAGACACGCGGGGAGACACGGGGAGACACGAGGGGAGAGACACGGGGAGACACGAGGAGACACACGGGGAGACACACGGGGGGAGACGCACGGGGAGACACGAGGGGAGACACACAGGGAGACACACAGGGAGACACGGGGAGACGCGGGGGGGGGGGGGGGACACGGGGAGACACGCGGGGAGACACGAGGGGAGAGACACGGGGGGAGAGACACGGGGTGTGAGACACGGGGAGACACACGGGGAGACACGAGGGGAGAGACACGGGGGAGAGACACGGGGGGAGAGACACGGGGAGACACAGGGAGACACGGGGGGAGACACACAGGGAGACACACAGGGAGACACGGGGGGAGACACACAGGGAGACACACAGGGAGACACGGGGAGACACACAGGGAGACACACAGGGAGACACACGGGGAGACACACGGGGAGACACACAGGGAGACACACAGGAGACACACGGGGGGAGACACACAGGGAGACATACGGGGAGACACACGGGGAGAGACACACAGGGAGACACGGGGGGAGACACACAGGGAGACACACAGGGAGACACACGGGGAGACACACAGGGAGACACACGGGGAGACACACAGGGAGACACACAGGGAGACACGGGGGGAGACACACAGGGAGACACACAGGGAGACACGGGGGGAGACACACAGGGAGACACACAGGGAGACACACAGGGAGACACACAAGGAGACACACGGGGAGACACACAGGGAGACACACAGGGAGACACACGGGAGACACACGGGAGACACACGGGGAGACACACGGGGAGACACACGGGGGGAGACACGGGGGGGAACACGGGGGGAGACACGGGGGGAGAAGACACGGGGGGAGAAGACACAGGGGCATGGGGGAGACACGGGGAGACGCGGGGGGGGGGGGGGGAGACACACGGGGAGACACACGGGGAGACACACAGGGAGACACACAGGGAGACACGGGGGGAGACACACAGGGAGACACACAGGGAGACACACAGGGAGACACGGGGAGACACACAGGGAGACACACAGGGAGACACACAGGGAGACACACAGGGAGACACGGGGAGACACACAGGGAGACACACAGGGAGACACACAGGGAGATACACAGGGAGACACACAGGGAGACACGGGGAGACACACAGGGAGACACACAGGGAGACACACAGGGAGACACGGGGAGACACACAGGGAGACACACAGGGAGACACGGGGAGACACACAGGGAGACACACAGGGAGACACGGGGAGACACACAGGGAGACACACAGGGAGACACACAGGGAGACACACGGGGAGACACACGGGGAGACACACAGGGAGACACGGGGAGACACACGGGGAGACACACGGGAGACACACAGGAAGACACAGGGAGACACGGGGAGACACACAGGGAGACACGAGGAGACACACAGGGAGGCACACAGGGAGACACGGGGGGTTAGAGGAAGAGGCGAGTGAGCGAGCGAGGGAGGGCGGGAGATAAAATTCACTGTTACCACGTGACCCACATCATTACCCCCTCGTCCTGCCACGTGACCCACATCATTACCCCCTTGTCCTGCCACGTGACCCACATCGTTACCCCTTCGTCCTGCCACGTGACCCCCATCATTACCCCCTCGTCCTGCTACGTGACCCTCATCAATACCACTTCGTCCTACCACGTGACCCCCATCATTACCCCTTCGTCCTACCACGTGACCCCCATCATTACCTCTTCGTCCTACCACGTGACCCACATCATTACCCCCTTGTCCTGCCACGTGACCCACATCATTACCCCCTCGTCCTGCCACGTGACCCTCATCATTACCCCCTTGTCATGCCACGTGACCCCCATCATTACCCCTTCGTCCTGCCACGTGACCCCCATCATTACCCCCTCGTCCTGCCACGTGACCCCCATCATTACCCCCTTGTCCTGCCACGTGACCAACATCATTACCCCCTCGTCCTGCCACGTGACGCACATCATTACCCCTTCGTCCTGCCACGTGACCCACATCACTACTCCTTTGCCCTGCCACATGACCCCCACCACTACCCCCTTGTCCTGCCACGTGACCCCCATCACTACCCCCTCGGCCTACCACGTGACCCCCATCATTACCCCTTTGTCCTACCACGTGACCCCCATCATTACCCCCTCGTCCTACCACATGACCCTCATCATTACCCCTTCGTCCTACCACGTGACCCCCATCATGACCCCTTCGTCCTGCCACGTGACCCCCATCATTACCCCTTCGCCCTGCCACGTGACCGCCATCATTACCCCTTCGTCCTGCCACGTGACCCCCATCATTACCCCCTCGTCCTACCACGTGACCCCCATCATTACTCCCTCGTCCTACCACGTGACCCTCATCATTACCCCTTCGTCCTACCACGTGACCCTCATTATTACCCCTTCGTCCTACCACGTGACCCCGATCCCTTCTCCTTCGTCCTACCACGTGACCCCCATCATTACTCGCTCGTCCTACCACGTGACCCCCATCATTACCCCTTCGTCCTGCCACGTGACCCTCATCATTAACCCCTCGTCCTACCACGTGACCCCATCATGACCCCTTCGTCCTGCCACGTGACCCCCATCATTACCCCTTCGCCCTGCCACGTGACCCACATCATTACCCCCTCATCCTACCACGTGACCCCCATCATTACCCCCTTGTCCTACCACGTGACCCACATCATTACCCCCTTGTCCTACCACGTGACTCCCATCATTACCCCCTCGTCCTGCCACGTGACCCCCATCACTACCCCCTTGTCCTGCCACGTGACCCCCATCACTACCCCCTCGTCCTGCCACGTGACCCACATCATTACCCCCTCGTCCTACCACGTGACCCCCATCATTACCCCCTTGTCCTACCACGTGACCCACATCATTACCCCCTTGTCCTACCACGTGACCCCCATCATTCCCCCCTCGTCCTGCCACGTGACCCCCATCATTACTCCCTCGTCCTACCACGTGACCCTCATCATTACCCCTTCGTCCTACCACGTGACCCTCATCATTACCCCTTCATCCTACCACGTGACACCCATCATTAACCTTCTGTGCCCCCCCTCCGTGTGTCCCCCCCCCATTCCCCTACCACCCCTCCGCCCCCCCCCCCCCCTCTTCAGAGCGGTATCGTGGAACAACCTGGCGATCCCGGACACGCACTGCTCCCCCAGCGGGCAAGGCTTCTCGTGCCCGCTGGGATTCCGCTGTGTGGATCTTCTGGACATGGGACTCAGTCGCCAAGAGCTGGGATACAGCGGCTTCAACGAAATCGGTGGGACGACTCGCACAGACTCAGTCACAGACACAGACACATTCACTCAGACTCAGTCACACAGACTCACGCACTCACTCACACAGACTCACTCAGACTCAGTCGCTCAGATTCACTCACTGACTCACTCACTAACTCACTCAGACTCACTGGCTCAGACTCAGTCACTCAGACTCACTCACTCAGACTAACTCACTCGCTCAGACTCACTCACTCACTCAGACTCACTCACTCAGACTCACTCACTCGCACAGACTCACTCACTCACTCAGACTCACTCACTCACTCAGACTCACTCACTCAGACTCACAGACTCACTCAGACTCACTCACTCACTCAGACTCACTCACTCACTCAGACTCACTCACTCAGACTCACTCACTCAGACTCACTCACTCACTCAGACTCACTCACAGACTCACTCAGACTCATTCACTCAGACTCACTCACTCGCTCAGACTCACTCACTCACTCAGACTCACTCAGACTCACTCACTCAGACTCACTCACTCACTCAGACTCACTCACTCGCTCAGACTCACTCACTCAAACTCACTCACTCAGACTCACTCACTCAGACTCACTCACTCACTCAGACTCACTGACTCAGACTCACTCAGACTCACTCACTCACTCAGACTCACTCACTCACTCAGACTCACTCACTCAGACTCACTCACTCACTCAGACTCACTCACTCAGACTCACTCACTCACTCAGACTCACTCACTCACTCAGACTCACTCACAGACTCACTCAGACTCATTCACTCAGACTCACTCACTCGCTCAGACTCACTCACTCGCTCAGACACACTCACTCACTCAGACTCACTCAGACTCACTCACTCAGACTCACTCACTCACTCAGACTCACTCACTCACTCAGACTCACTGGCTCAGACTCACTCAGACTCACTCACTCACTCAGACTCACTCACTCACTCAGACTCACTCACTCAGACTCACTCACTCACTCAGACTCACTCACTCAGACTCACTCACTCACTCAGACTCACTCACTCACTCAGACTCACTCACAGACTCACTCAGACTCATTCACTCAGACTCACTCACTCGCTCAGACTCATTCACTCACTCAGACTCACTCAGACTCACTCACTCAGACTCACTCACTCACTCAGACTCGCTCAGACTCACTCACTCACTCAAACTCACTCACTCAGACTCACTCACTCAGACTCACTGACTCAGACTCACTCAGACTCACTCACTCACTCAGACTCACTCACTCAGACTCACTCACTCACTCAGACGGTTTGATGGTGATGGTGCGTGGTGATGGTGCGGTGTGATGGTGTGATGTGATGGTGTGGTGTGATGGTGTGATGTGATGGTGCATGGTGATGGTGACAGCGTGATGGTGCTTGGTGATGGTGCTTGGTGATGGTGCAGTGTGATGGTGCGTGGTGATGGTGCGTGGTGATGGTGCGTGGTGATGGTGCGGTGTGATGGTGTAGTGTGATGGTGCGGTGTGATGGTGCGTGGTGATGGTGCGTGGTGATGGTGCGGTGTGATGGTGTAGTGTGATGGTGCGGTGTGATGGTGCGTGGTAATGGTGCGTAGTGATGGTGCGTGGTGATGGTGCGGTGTGATGGTGCGTGGTGATGGTGCAGTGTGATGGTGTAGTGTGATGGTGTGGTGTGACGGTGTGATGGTGACGGTGTGATGGTGCGTGGTGATGGTGCGTGGTGATGGTGTAGTGTGATGGTGCGGTGTGATGGTGCGTGGTGATGGTGCGGTGTGATGGTGCGTGGTGATGGTGCGGTGTGATGGTGTAGTGTGATGGTGCGTGGTGATGGTGTGATGGTGCGGTGTGATGGTGCGTGGTGATGGTGCGTGGTGATAGTGTGATGGTGTGATGGTGTGATGGTGTGGTGTGATGGTGTAACGGTGATGGTGTGATGGTGTTACGGTGTGATGGTGTGACGGTGATGGTGTGATGGTGTGACGTTGTTACGGTGTGATGGTGTGACGGTGATGGTGTGATGGTGTGACGGTGCGGTGTGATGGTGTGACTGTGACGGTGTGATGGTGATGGTGTGACTGTGACGGTGTGACTGTGACGGTGTGACTGTGACAGTGTGACGGTGTTACGGTGACGGTGTTACGGTGTGATGGTGTGACGGTGCGGTGTGATGGTGTGATGGCGACGGTGTGACTGTGACGGTGTGACGGTCACGGCAGGCACCAGCATCTTCACGGTGTACGAGGCGGCATCGCAGGAGGGGTGGGTCTTCCTCATGTACCGCGCCATCGACAGCTTCCCCGGCTGGCGAGCTTACTTCTACTTCATCACCCTCATCTTCTTCCTCGCCTGGCTCGTCAAGGTGAGCTCACTCGCTCACTCACTCACCCGCTCGCTCACCCACTGGCTCACCTACTCACTCACTCGCTCGCTCGCTCACCCGCTCACTCACTCACTCGCTCGCTCATCCGCTCACTCACTCGCTCGCTCACCTACTCACGCACTCACTTTCCCGGCTGGCGAGCTTACTTCTCCTTCATCACCCTCATCTTCTTTCTTGTCTGGCTCGTCAAGGTGAGCTCACTCGCTCGCTCACCCACTCACTCGCTCGCTCACCCGCTCACTCACTCACTCACTCGCTCACCCGCTCACTCACCCACTCGCTCGCTCGCTCGCTCACCCGCTCACTCACTCACTCGCTCGCTCACCCACTCGCAAGCTCCCTCACTCGCTCGCTCACTCGATCGTTCACTCGCTCACTCACTCGCTCACTAGCTCGCTCACCTGCTCGCTCACTCACTCACTTCCCCGGCTGGCGAGCTTACTTCTACTTCATCACCCTCATCTTTTTCCTCGCCTGGCTCGTCAAGGTGAGCTCAGTCGCTCACTCACCCGCTCACTCACTCACTCGCTTGCTCACCCGCTCGCTCACCTACTCACCCGCTCACTCACTCACGCGCTCGCTCACCTACTCACTCACTCACTCGCTCGCTCACCTACTCATTCACTCACCTTCTCACTCACTCGCTCGCTCACCTACTCACCCGCTCGCTCACCCGTTCACTCACTCACTCGCTCACTCGCTCACTCAGTCACTCGCTCACCTACTCACTCACTCGCTCGCTCACCCGAGTGGAGAGTTTCCCATACCTGGGCAATGTGCTTATGACTGCCTGAAGTTTAACAGCAGAGGTCTCACTCCGAATCAGTCGAGCGGCAATATCTTTTCATCGGTTGCGTAACGCTGTGTGGAACCTACCTGGTCTGTCGCTCCACACTAAGCTTCAGGTCTTATCGGCCATGGTCATTCCCTCCCTTCTCTACGCTTGCGAAACGTGGACCCCCCTAATGGAACATCTTCGCCGGTTAGAAACATTTAGGCTGGCCTGCCTCCGATCCATCCTGGGTTTAACCAGACTGGATTGTGTGAGGAGCTCACAAATCCTTGAAAGATCTGGGCAAGGTCCCATCGGTGAGCTCCTCCGGTGGGGAAGGCTGCGATGGCTGGGTCATGTAGCCCGCATGCCCAGCCACCGCATGCTTCAGCTTTTGTTCGGCCGGATTGAGGGGGCTAAACGGGCGAGGCACGGGCTAGAGAAGAGATGGAGTGATGTGGTACAGGAGGACGTGGAGCTGAGTGGATTGGCCGATGACTGGTACCAGCGGTGTCAAGATCGGCCTCTGTGGAGGAGGCTCGTGAAGGACGCTACTGGGCAGTTGGAGGTAGTCGCCCTCCAACAACAACAGAGGGCGGAGGAGCGACGCTCAGAACAACGAGCGGAGCGCCGGGTGGCTAAAGCACAGCAGGTTGGCACAGTAGGGGGCACAGGTGGTGCATCAGCCAGTCATCTCAGTCAGTCGACCCGTGGCACCTGGGTCTGCCCAATGACCTCCTGCCAGCGGGCGTTCGACACTTCACGTGGCCTCAGGGTGCACATAGCCTGGCACAAGCGTCGTGGTGACGTCACCGCCACATAGTGGCGAATGGTGGTTGTTGTTGTTGTGTGTATACGTGTGTATATGGCTGTGTGTGTGGTGTGTGTGTGTATACGTGTGTGTGTGTATATACGTATGTGTGTATGACTGTGTGGTGTGTGTGTGTATGTGTGTGTGTGTATGTGTGTGTGTATGTGTGTTCCTGGGAACAGGTTTGCAGATTTGCTGAGCATTTCTGTGAGGTCCTGGGGGAGGGAAATCCCTCAGCCAGGAAAACATCGTGGCACAAAGTGAGGATGACCCTGCTGAGGCTGCGGTGCCTCAAATATTGGAATAAGTCACCCCCTGTGAGTGGCTGGCTGACATGCCATCTGGTGAGGAAGTGCTGAGGGCGATCCGGAGTCTGAGACCAGGAAAGGCAGCGGGTAGAGATGATCTCCCAAGCGAAATGCTGAGGGAGGGTGGCGTTTGTGCACAGACTGCCCTATATGACATCACAACAACGGTCTGGACCACTGAACAGGTTCCGCAGGATTGGAAGGATGCCCTGGTGGTCCCCCTCTTTAAAAAGGGGGACCGCACAGACTGTAACAACTACAGGGGCATCTCACTCCTCAGTGTGCCAGGAAAGGTCCTGGCAAGGATTATTCAGCATCGCCTTGCCAGGCACGCTGAGGAGAGGCTTGCGGAGCCCCAATGCGGTTTCAGGAAAGGGCGGTCCTGCACAGATGCTATATTTTCTGTCCGTCTGCTACAGCAGAGGTGTAGGGAATTCCAACAAGACCTACATCTCTGCTTTATTGACCTGGTCAAGGCCTATGATACCATCAGTAGGCCTGGGCTCTGGGTTGTTCTTCGTGCTTTTGGAGTACCTGACCCTCTGCTCACGATCATTAAGGACCTTCATGATGGTGAGCGGGCCCGGGTAAAACTACGTGGCCGGGAGTCAGAGCCATTCCCTGTACACCTTGGGGTGCGTCAGGGATGTCCTCTGGCTCCCACATTATTTAACATCTATTTTGACCACGTAGTTCGTGAAGCCTTCAATAGCTTTACCGGGGGAATCTCCATATGGTACAGATATAATGGGTGGCTGATCGATGCCCGGGTGCGGTCAAGGGATGGCTCCCTATTGCTCAACCACGTTATGAATGCTGATGATTTGGTAATAGCTGCTCAGTCAGAAGAGGAGTTGGAGACGCTGCTGCTGAGACTGGAGCGTGCCACTAAGGGGTGGGCCTTACCATCAGCCCCACCAAAACTAAGCACCTGCCTGGGTATTTTGTACCATCGGACACTCCACCCCCACAACTCCCAATCGGTGATGGGGCAGTTGTGGAGAGAGTGGAGAGTTTCCCATACCTGGGCAGTGTGCTTATGACTGGCTCCAGTTTAACAGCAGAGGTCTCACTCCGAATCAGTCGAGCGGCAATATCTTTTCATCGGTTGCGTAACGCTGTGTGGAAGCTACCTGGTCTGTCGCTCCGCACTAAAGCTTCAGGTCTTATCGGCCACGGTCATTCCCTCCCTTCTCTACGCTTGCGAAACGTGGACCCCCCCAATGGAACATCTTCGCCGGTTAGAAACATTTAGGCTAGCCTGCCTACGATCCATCCTGGGTTTAACCCGACTGGATAGTGTGAGGAGCTCACAAATCCTTGAAAGATCTGGGCAAGGTCCCATCGGTGAGCTCCTCCGGCGGGCAAGGCTGCGATGGCTGGGTCATGTAGCCCGCATGCCCAGCCACCGCATGCCGAAACAGCTTTTGTTCGGCCGGATTGAGGGGGCTAAGCGGGCGCGGCACGGGCTAGAGAAGAGATGGAGTAATGTGGTACAGGAGGACGTGGAGCTGAGTGGACTTGCCAATGACTGGTACCAGCGGTGTCAAGATCGGCCTCTGTGGAGGAGGCTCGTGAAGGATGCTACTGGGCAGTTGGAGGTAGTCGCCCTCCAACAACAACGGAGGGCGGAGGAGCGACGTTCAGAACAACGAGCGGAGCGCCGGGTGGCTAAAGCACAGCAGGTTGGCACAGTAGGGGGCACAGGTGGTGCATCAGCCAGTCATCTCAGTCAGTCGACCCGTGGCACCTGGGTCTGCCCCGTGACCTCCTGCCAGCGGGCGTTCGACACTTCACGTGGCCTCAGGGTGAACATAGCCTGGTACAAGCGTCGTGGTGACATCACCGCCACTTAGTGGCGAATGGCGGTTGTTGTTGTATGTGTGTGTATGTGTGTGTGTATGTGTGTGTATGACTGTGTGTGTATGTGTGTGTGTATGTGTGTATGTGTGTGTCTGCGCGCGTGCGTGTCCGCGTCATGCTGGCCACCCACACCCAGCTCGCTGTTCGCGGCACTTGCCCCTGCACCCCGCCGGAGGCTACATGGGGGACCTTTGCCTGTGCCTCTGTGCCCCTCCCCCCCCCCATCACGCCCTGCAGAACGTCTTCATCGCGGTGATTATCGAGACTTTTGCCGAGATCCGAGTCCAGTTTCAGCAGATGTGGGGATCACGTGGTAACACGACCTCCACGGCGACCACGCAGGTGAGGGGCGTGCCGGGTGGGGTGGGGGTGGCGGTCGCCGTAGCAACGGAGATCGCCATGGCAACGGAGATCGCCGTGGCAACGGACATTACCGTAGCAACGGAGATTGCCGTGGCAACGGAGATTGCCGTGGCAACGGAGATTGCCGTGGCAACGGAGATTGCTGTAGCAACGGAGATTGTCGTGGCAACGGAGATTGCCCTAGCAACGGAGATTGCCGTGGCAACGGACATTGCCGTAGCAACAGACATTGCCATAGCAACGGACATCGCCGTAGCAACGGCTATGACAATCGCGACAAATAACCATAGCGACACTCGTCACCGTGGCAACGCGCATCGCCATAGCAACTCCCCACAAGGCGGGGGGGGGGGGGACACGGGGAGATGCAGGGAGATTGTTGTTGTTGCTGCTGTTCTTGTTGTTCTTGCTGTTGTTGTTGTTCTTGTTGTTGTTGCTGTTGTTGCTGTTGTTGTTGCTGTTGTTGTTGCTGCTGTTGTTGTTGCTGTTGTTGCTGTTGTTGTTGCTGTTGTTGTTGCTGTTGTCGCTGTTGTTGTTGCTGTTGTTGCTGTTGTTGTTGCTGTTGTTGCTGTTGTTGTTGTTGCTGTTGTTGTTGCTGTTGTTGTTGTTGCTGTTGTTGCTGTTGTTGTTGCTGTTGTTGTTGCTGCTGTTGTTGTTGCTGTTGTTGATGTTGTTGTTGCTGTTGTTGCTGTTGTTGATGTTGTTGCTGTTGTTGCTGTTGTTGTTGTTGCTGTTGTTGTTGTGGCTGTTGCTGTTGTTGTTGCTGTTGCTGTTGATGTTGTTGTTGTTGCTGTTGTTGTTGCTGTTGTTGTTGCTGTTGCTGCTGTTGTTGTTGCTGTTGCTGCTGTTGTTGTAGTTATTGCTGTTGGTGTTGTTGTAGTTGTTGTTGTAGTTGTTGTTGTTGCTGTTGTTGTTGGTGCTGTTGTTGTTGTTGTTGCTGCTGTTGTTGTTGTTGCTGTTGCTGCTGTTGCTGCTGTTTTTGTTGCTGTTGTTGTTGTGGCTGATTTTGCTGTTGTTGTTGTGGCTGATTTTGCTGTTGTTGTTGTGTAGGTCTTTCATGAAGGGAGTGGTGGTGGCAGTGGTGGTGGTGGTGGTGGCGGTGGTGGTGGCGGTGGTGGTGGTGGTGGCTGGCAGCTCGTGACTGTGGACGTCAGCAAACCACGTGGCTGGGCACCCTCCTGCCTGCAGGTGACACTCACCACACTCACCACTAGTACACTCACCACTACTCCACTCACCACTAGTATACTCACCACTATACTCACCACACTCACCACACTCACCACTACACTCACCACCACACTCACCACTAGTACACTCACCACTACACTCACCACACTCACCACTAGTACACTCACCACTAGTACATTCACCACACTCACCACTAGTACACTCACCACACTCACCATTAGTACACTCACCACACTCACCATTAGTACACTCACCACTAGTACACTCACCACTACACTCACCACTAATACACTCACCACTACACTCACCACACTCAACACTCACCACTAGTACACTCACCACTAGTACACTCACCACACTCATCACTAGTACACTCACCACTAGTACACTCACCACTACACTCACCACTAGTACACTCACCACTAGTACACTCACCACTAGTACACTCACCACTAGTACACTCACCACTACACTCACCACTAGTACACTCACCACTAGTACACTCACATCTAGTACACTCACCACTATACACTCACCACTATACACTCACCACTAGTACACTCACCACTACTACACTCACCACTACACTCACCACTACACTCACCACTAGTACACTTACCACTCACCACTAGTACACTCACCACTACACTCACCACTACACTCACCACTAGTACACTCACCACTCACTAGTACACTCACCACTACACTCACCACACTCACCACTAGTACACTCACCACTAGTACACTCACCACTCACCACTAGTACACTCACCACTAGTACACTTAGCACTACACTCACCACTAGTACACTCACCACTAGTGCACTCACCACTAGTACACTCACCACTACACTCACCACTCACTACTAGTACACTCACCACTCGTACACTCACCACTAGTACACTCACCACGAGTACACTCACCACTAGTACACTCACCACTCACCACTAGTACACTCACCACTCGTACACTCACGACTAGTACACTCACCAGCAGTACACTCACCACTAGTACACTCACCACTAGTACACTCACCACTACACTCACCACACTCACCACTAGTACACTCACCACTACACTCACCACTAGTACACTCACCACTAGTACACTCACCACTAGTACATTCACCACTAGTACACTCACCACTAGTACACTCACCACTAGTACACTCACCATTACACTCACCACTACACTCACCACGAGTACACTCACCACACTCACCACTACACTCACCACTACACTCACCACTAGTACACTCACCACTACACTCACCACTCACCACTACACTCACCATTTCTCCCCACACCCTGATCCAGGCCACCGCCTTCCACACTCACCACTCACCACTACACTCACTACTTACCACTAAACTCACCACTAGTACACACACCACTCACCACTACACTCACCCCTACCACACTCACCACTCACCACTACACTCACTACTCCCCACTACACTCCCCACTACTACACTCACCACTACACTCACCACTAGTACACTCACCACTAGTACACTCACCACTACACTCACCACTACCCTCATTGTTTCTCCCCAGACCCTGATCCAGGCCACTGCTTTCCACATGTCCATCTTGAGCCTCGTGGCCGTGGACGTGGTGATGGCCGCCAGCAACCACAGCGCCTCGCCAGAAGCCTCGCTCGGTGTGGACGTCTTCCACGTTGCTGAGGTGCTCACAGACTCACAGACTCACACACAGGCTCACACACAGACTCACTCACAGACTCACTCACTCACAGACTCACACACAGACTCACACACAGACTCACACACAGACTCACTCACACACAGACTCACTCACAGACTCACTCACAGACTCACACACAGACTCACACACAGACTCACTCACAGACTCACTCACAGAATCACAGACTCACTCACTCACAGACTCACTCACTCACAGACTCACACACAGACTCACACACAGACTCACAGACTCACTCACACACAGACTCACTCACAGACTCACTCATAGACTCACTCATAGAGTCACAGACTCACTCACTCACAGACTCACTCACAGACTCACTCACTCACAGACTCACTCACTCCCAGACTCACACACAGACTCACTCACTCACAGACTCACACACAGACTCACACACAGACTCACAGACTCACTCACACACAGACTCACTCACAGACTCACTCACAGACTCACTCATAGACTCACTCATAGTCACAGACTCACTCACTCACAGACTCACTCACAGACTCACTCACTCACAGACTCACTCACTCACAGACTCACTCACTCACAGACTCACACACAGACTCACACACAGACTCACAGACTCACTCACACACAGAGTCACTCACAGACTCACTCATAGACTCACTCATAGAGTCACAGACTCACTCACTCACAGACTCACTCACAGACTCACTCACTCACAGACTCACTCACACACAGACTCACACACAGACTCACATACTCACTCACACACAGACTCACTCACAGACTCACTCATAGACTCACTCATAGAGTCACAGACTCACTCACTCACAGACTCACACACAGACTCACAGACTCACTCACTCACAGACTCACACACAGACTCACAGACTCACTCACAGACTCACTCACAGACTCACTCACTCACTTACAGACTCACACACAGACTCACACACAGACTCACTCACAGACTCACTCATAGACTCACTCATAGAGTCACAGACTCACTCACTCACAGACTCACTCACAGACTCACTCACTCACAGACTCACTCACACACAGACTCACACACAGACTCACATACTCACTCACACACATACTCACTCACAGACTCACTCATAGACTCACTCATAGAGTCACAGACTCACTCACTCACAGACTCACACACAGACTCACAGACTCACTCACACACAGACTCACTCACAGACTCACTCATAGACTCACTCATAGACTCACTCATAGAGTCACAGACTCACTCACTCACAGACTCACACACAGACTCACAGACTCACTCACTCACAGACTCACACACAGACTCACAGACTCACTCACTCACAGACTCACTCACAGACTCACTCACTCACTTACAGACTCACACACAGACTCACACACAGACTCACTCACAGACTCACTCATAGACTCACTCATAGAGTCACAGACTCACTCACTCACAAACTCACTCACAGACTCACTCACTCACAGACTCACTCACTCACAGACTCACACACAGACTCACACACAGACTCACTCATAGACTCACAGACTCACTTACACACAGACTCACACACAGACTCACACACAGACTCACACACACAGACTCACAGACTCACTCACACACAGACTCACTCACAGACTCACTCACAGACTCACTCACAGAATCACTCACAGACTCACACACAGACTCACTCACAGACTCACAGAGTCACACACAGACTCACAGACTCACTCACAGACTCACACACAGACTCACTCACAGACTCACTCACACACAGACTCACTCACTCATAGACTCACTCACTCATAGACTCACTCACAGACTCACTCACAGACTCACAGACTCACTCACAGACTCACACACAGTCTCACAGACTCACTCACAGACTCACACACAGACTCACTCACAGACTCACAGACTCACACACTGACTCACTCACAGACTCACGGACTTGAGGAGGTGGATGAGGTTGAGGAGGTGGAGGTGGAGGAGGTTGAGAATGAGGAGGTTGAGGAGGTTGAGGAGGTGGAGTAAGTTGAGGAGGAGGTTGAGAATGAGGAGGTGGAGGAGGTTGAGAATGAGGAGGTTGAGGAGGTGGAGGAGGTTGAGAATGAGGAGGTGGAGGAGGTGGAGGAGGTTGAGAATGAGGAGGTGGAGGAGGTGGAGGAGGAGGTGGAGGAGGTTGAGAATGAGGAGGTGGAGGAGGTTGAGAATGAGGAGGTGGAGGAGGTGGAGGAGGTTGAGAATGAGGAGTTGGAGGAGGTTGAGGAGGTGGAGGAGGTTGAGAATGAGGAGGTGGAGGTGGTGGAGATGGAGGAAGTTGTAGGAGGTGGAGGAGGTGGAGGAGGTTGAGAATGAGGAGGTGGAGGAGATGAAGGAGGTGGAGGAGGTTGAGAATGAGGAGGTTGTAGGAGGTGTAGGAGGTGGAGGATGAGCAGGTTGTAGGAGGTGAAGGAGGTGGAGGTGGAGAATGATGAGGTTGTAGGAGGTGGAGGAGGTGGAGGAGATGGAGAATGAGGAGGTGGAGGAGGTGGAGGATGAGGAGGTGGAGGAGGTTGAGAATGAGGAGGTTGAGGAGGTGTAGGAGGTGGAGGATGAGGAGGTTGACGAGGAGGTGCCGTCTCCCCCTCCAGGTGGTGTTCACGGTTCTCTTCGACCTGGAGGCTCTGCTCAAGATTTGGTGTCTGGGCTTCAGGGGCTACATCTCCTCTTCGCTTCACAAGTTCGAGCTGCTGCTGGTGGTGGGGACGACGCTGCACATCATCCCCAACCTCTACCACTCGCAGCTCACCTACTTCCAGGTGGGCACGCTCACCCGCACGCTCACCCAATCACCGAATCACCCACTCATTCACCTATCACCCACCCGCACGTTCACCCGCACGTTCACCCACACGCTCACCCAATCACCAATTGTTTCCCCTCAACGTGACTTTACCGAAAGAACCAAAAATATAAAAATATATATACTACTCTACTGTTGTATGTTGTTTGTGTCTGGGCGATTTGTTTACGTTACGCTCCCGCCGTGTGTTTGTGCGTATCGTGTTTGTTGTTGTAACTTTGCGACCTTCCCATATTGGACAGCTGTGATGATGATAATACCAGATTCCGATTCCGATAGAGATACTCTTTGGTTCTATTCGGTAAAGTCACCACGTAGGTAAAAAATAAAACAACAAAAATCACGACGTTTCGGCCACAACACAAGCGGCCTTCTTCAGGTGAAGGGACCGGACTGTCCCGAGGACAGCGCTGGAGTGAAACACAGCCACGCTCAGACCGCGGACCTTTAAGCTGTGTGAGAGGAATTAAGGTGCCTTGACAAAGGAATTAGAATATCAAGGCGCTCTGTTTCCTCTCACACAGCTTAAAGGTCGCGGTCTGAGCGTGGCTGTGTTTCACTCCAGCGCTGTCCTCGAGACAGTGCTGGTCCCTTCACCTGATGAAGGCCGCTTGTGTTGTGGCTGAAACGTCATTACTTTTGTTGTTTTATTTTTTACCTACGTGACTTTACCGAATAGAACCAAAGAGTATGGATCCTTGCAGTCACGAAAGCTTTAAATCTAGAATCCGATAGAGATGCTACGTAGCTCAGTGTGTGGGGCCTTACCTGGTCAAAATAAAGTAACACCAACCCGTCAACCCCTTATCATCGCCCTACCAAACTACAAACCAATTCAGAGCTTATTGGTCACCCCGTGCCCTTTTAAATCTCAACGTCCACCCTATGGAGTCCTATCGCAAGGGAGAGATGCAAGCAAATAGACGATCACCACTAGCACACTCACCCACACACTCCCATCGCTGTCAACCCCTTTATCAGTGCCCTACCTACCTTACTACAGACCAATTCACACCGTATTGGTCACCCCCGTGCCCCTTATAAACCTCAACGTTCATCCTACAAAGTCCCATCGCAAGGGAGAAACACAAACAGGCGCAATTTTATTTGTGCCCGTATTGTGAAACGGCCGTTACGCCCGCATGATCCCCTGACAAACTCAATTTCCCTGGACAAAGAATAACGGGGTAAGCCGTACGGGTCGACAGCGGTGGTTTGATAGCCAGCAGGCGGTAACACCGATTCGTATATTTCGACATCCGGTGTAATGACAGAGTGCCACCTGTCGGCCTGTAAGGGTAATCACGGGCGTGGGCAAGGTGATGTCACAACCAATCAGAGGGAGGGGTGGGGGGGGGCGTGTCTGGGTTAAAGGTTAAAGCCGGGGTTGGTCGGGAACCTGCTGGAAGGTTCTTGGAAGGGGGCGTGGCAGGAGGCGGGGCCTGGCCACGCCGAGAGGTATATAAGGGGGATGGACCCGCGTGGGGAGATCCTCCCGCACGGCTACCAGTGTCGTCACCATGACGCCAGCCAGCCAGTCAGCCGTGCGGTCGCATGTAGGGACTACGTAGAGAGGTCGGCTGTGTGTCGCTAAAGTAGTGACGTGTTTACATCACGCAGTGTTGTGAGCAGTGAGAGGAGACGCGCGTGTGTGTGTGTGCGTGTGTTGTGCCCAGTGTGAGAATAAATGAGAAGAAGCCATCTACATAGCTGCTTACCCCGAGATGCCAATGCCCTGACAGTGGCATTGTCTCTGGGCTAACGCTGTTTGTGAGACTCGGCTTTAAACACATTCTCCTGCAGAGAGAGGGAGGGAGCTGCTGGTAGTAACTTTGGGTTACTGCTCGGTCAACGGCCAGGGTCAACAACAACGGCGGCACCACGTGGTGGTGCGTTCCGCACAATATGCCCCACTGTGAGGGCGGGCACAAGCCGGCGTGAGTTGGTGAAACGTTGAGTTTTATAAGGGGGGCACCACGGGGTGACCAGCCCCTCCGCACCCAGCCCCACCCCTCCCACCCCCACCCAGCCCCTCCCCACCTTCCCCTCCCCACTCAGCCCCTCCCCACCCAGCCCCTCCCTCCCCACTCAGCCCCTCCCCACCCCACCCCCTCCCTCCCTACCCAGCCCCTCCCCACCCTCCCCTCCCCACCCAGCGCCTCCCCACCCAGCCCCTCCCCACCCTCCCCACCCAGCCCCTCCCCACCCTCCCTACCCAGCCCCTCCCCACCCTCCCCACCCAGCCCCTCCCTCTCCACCCAGCCCCTCCCCACCCAGCCCCACCCCTTCCATATTTGGATGCACGATGGACGGACGGACACAATACCCCCCCCCCCACTCCCGTGTGGGCTGCTGCTGCTGCTGCTGGTGGCGGTGTAGTAACCAGGAGGTTCCTGCGCAGTAAGGGAACGGCGATGTTCGATTCGGAAGCTTTCGTGACTGCAGGAATCCGCGCTCTGTGGTTTATTTCGGTGCAGTCGTCACGTGGTAGGGTAGAGAAGTAAAACGAAATGAGTCACGTGACGTTTTCGGCGTGACGCCCGCTGCGGATGTCGCGATCTGCACCTGGAGGCGGACGGTGGTGTTGGAGTTCGAATCGTCGCGAGTTATTGCGTTTGAGTTCTCTACCCCACGTGGCGACCTTGCCGAAAGGCAAATTGTTGGTTCAGTATCAACCCCTGTAATGGTGTCGTTTGTGTCTGGCCCTTTGGCGTTTATGGGAGAGGGTGGGAGGGCGGGGGAGCGGTGGTGCAGCGGTTAGCGCACTGCCCCACAAACCTCCGGGTGACGCCGGTTCGGTTCGCCGCTCAGCGCCAACACCACTGGCGATCACCATCACTGTCACCATCATCATCATCACCTCCACCACGATCACCATCACTGTCAACATCATCATCATCATCACCATCATCACCTCCACCACGATCACCATCACTGCCACCATCATCACCATCACCATCATCACCTCCACCACGATCACCATCACTGCCACCATCATCATCATCACCATCATCACCATCACTGTCACCATCATCACCATCACCATCATCACCTCCACCACGATCACCATCACCATCATCACCTCCACCACGATCACCATCACTGCCACCATCATCACCACCACCATCATCACCTCCACCACGATCACCATCACTGCCACCATCATCACCACCACGATCACCATCATCACCTCCACCAGGATCACCATCACTGCCAACATCATCATCATCACCATCACCATCATCACCTCCACCACGATCACCATCTCTGACACCATCATCACCATCATCATCACCTCCACCACGATCACCATCACTGTCACCATCATCACCACCATCATCACCTCCACCACGATCACCATCACTGCCACCATCATCACCACCATCACCATCATCACCACCATCACCATCATCACCTCCACCACGATCACCATCACTGCCACCATCATCACCACCACCATCATCATCATCACCTCTACCACGATCACCATCACTGCCACCATCATCACCACCACCATCATCACCTCCACCACGATCACCATCACTGCCACCATCACCACCACCATCATCATCATCACCTCCACCACGATCACCATCACTGCCACCATCATCACCACCACCATCATCATCATCATCACCTCCACCACGATCACCATCACTGCCACCATCATCACCACCACCATCATCACCTCCACCACGATCACCATCACTGCCACCATCACCACCACCATCAACATCATCACCTCCACCACGATCACCATCACTGCCACCATCATCACCACCACCATCATCATCATCACCTCCACCACGATCACCATCACTGTCACCATCATCACCACCATCACCATCATCACCTCCACCACGATCACCATCACTGCCACCATCATCACCACCATCACCATCATCACCTCCAACACGATCACCATCACTGCCACCATCATCACCACCATCATCATCATCATCACCTCCACCACGATCACCATCACTGCCACCATCATCACCACCATCACCATCATCACCTCTACCACGATCACCATCACTGCCACCACCACAATCACCATCATCACCTCCACCACGATCACCATCACTGCCACCATCATCACCACCATCATCATCATCACCTCCACCACGATCACCATCACTGCCACCATCATCACCACCATCACCATCATCACCTCTACCACGATCACCATCACTGCCACCATCATCACCACCATCATCACCTCCACCACGATCACCATCACTGCCACCATCATCACCACCATCACCATCATCACCACCATCACCATCATCACCTCCACCACGATCACCATCACTGCCACCATCATCACCACCATCATCATCACCTCCACCACGATCACCATCACTGCCACCATCACCACCACCATCATCACCTCCACCACGATCACCATCACTGCCACCATCATCACCACCATCACCATCATCACCTCCAACACGATCACCATCACTGCCACCATCATCACCACCATCATCATCATCATCACCTCCACCACGATCACCATCACTGCCACCATCATCACCACCATCACCATCATCACCTCTACCACGATCACCATCACTGCCACCACCACAATCACCATCATCACCTCCACCACGATCACCATCACTGCCACCATCATCACCACCATCATCATCATCACCTCCACCACGATCACCATCACTGCCACCATCATCACCACCATCACCATCATCACCTCTACCACGATCACCATCACTGCCACCATCATCACCACCATCATCACCTCCACCACGATCACCATCACTGCCACCATCATCACCACCATCACCATCATCACCACCATCACCATCATCACCTCCACCACGATCACCATCACTGCCACCATCATCACCACCATCACCATCATCACCTCCACCACGATCACCATCACTGCCACCATCATCACCACCACCATCATCACCTCCACCACGATCACCATCACTGCCACCATCACCACCACCATCATCATCATCACCTCCACCACGATCACCATCACTGCCACCATCATCACCACCACCATCATCAGCATCACCTCCACCACGATCACCATCACTGTCACCATCATCACCACCATCACCATCATCACCTCCACCACGATCAACATCACTGCCACCATCATCACCACCATCACCATCATCACCTCCACCACGATCACCATCACTGCCACTATCATCACCACCATCACCATCATCACCACCATCACCATCATCACCTCCACCACGATCACCATCACTGCCACCATCATCACCACCATCACCATCATCACCTCCACCACGATCACCATCACTGCCACCATCATCACCACCATCATCATCATCACCTCCACCACGATCACCATCATTGCCACCATCATCACCACCATCACCATCATCACCTCTACCACGATCACCATCACTGCCACCATCATCACCACCATCATCACCTCCACCACGATCACCATCACTGCCACCATCATCACCACCATCACCATCATCACCACCATCACCATCATCACCTCCACCACGATCACCATCACTGCCACCATCATCACCACCATCACCATCATCACCTCCACCACGATCACCATCACTGCCACCATCATCACCACCATCACCATCATCACCTCCACCATGATCACCATCACTGCCACCATCATCACCACCATTATCACCTCCACCACGATCACCATAACTGCCACCATCATCACCACCATCACCATCATCACCACCATCACCATCATCACCTCCACCACGATCACCATCACTGCCACCATCATCACCGCCATCACCATCATCACCTCCACCACGATCACCATCACTGCCACCATCATCACCACCACCATCATCATCATCACCTCCACCACGATCACCATCACTGCCACCATCATCACCACCACCACCATCATCAACTCCACCACGATCACCATCACTGCCACCATCACCACCACCATCATCATCATCACCTCCACCACGATCACCATCACTGCCACCATCATCACCACCACCATCATCATCATCACCTCCTCCACGATCACCATCACTGTCACCATCATCACCACCATCACCATCATCACCTCCACCACGATCACCATCACTGCCACCATCATCACCACCATCACCATCATCACCTCCACCACGATCACCATCACTGCCACTATCATCACCACCATCACCATCATCACCACCATCATCACCTCCACCACGATCACCATCACTGCCACCATCATCACCACCATCACCATCATCACCTCCACCACGATCACCATCACTGCCACTATCATCACCACCATCACCATCATCACCACCATCACCATCATCACCTCCACCACGATCACCATCACTGCCACCATCATCACCACCATCACCATCATCACCTCCAACACGATCACCATCACTGCCACCATCATCACCACCATCATCATCATCATCACCTCCACCACGATCACCATCACTGCCACCATCATCACCACCATCACCATCATCACCTCTACCACGATCACCATCACTGCCACCATCATCACCACCATCATCACCTCCACCACGATCACCATCACTGCCACCATCATCACCACCATCACCATCATCACCACCATCACCATCATCACCTCCACCACGATCACCATCACTGTCACCATCATCACCACCATCACCATCATCACCTCCACCACGATCACCATCACTGCCACCATCATCACCACCATCATCACCTCCACCACGATCACCATCACTGCCACCATCACCACCACCACCATCATCATCATCACCTCCACCACGATCACCATCACTGCCACCATCATCACCACCACCATCATCATCATCACCTACACCACGATCACCATCACTGTCACCATCATCACCATCATCACCTCCACCACGATCAACATCACTGCCACCATCATCACCACCATCACCATCATCACCTCCACCACGATCACCATCACTGCCACCATCATCACCACCACCATCATCACCTCCACCACGATCACCATCACTGCCACCATCACCACCACCATCATCATCATCATCATCATCTCCACCACGATCACCATCACTGCCACCATCATCACCACCACCATCATCATCATCACCTACACCACGATCACCATCACTGTCACCATCATCACCACCATCACCATCATCACCTCCACCACGATCAACATCACTGCCAACATCATCACCACCATCACCATCATCACCTCCACCACGATCACCATCATCACCTCCACCACGATCACCATCACTGCCACTATCATCACCACCATCACCATCATCACCACCATCACCATCATCACCTCCACCACGATCACCATCACTGCCACCATCATCACCACCATCACCATCATCACCTCCACCACGATCACCATCACTGCCACCATCATCACCACCATCATCATCATCACCTCCACCACGATCACCATCACTGCCACCATCATCACCACCATCACCATCATCACCTCTACCACGATCACCATCACTGCCACCATCATCACCACCATCATCACCTCCACCACGATCAACATCACTGCCACCATCATCACCACCATCACCATCATCACCACCATCACCATCATCACCTCCACCACGATCACCATCACTGCCACCATCATCACCACCATCACCATCATCACCTCCACCACGATCACCATCACTGCCACCATCATCACCACCATCATCACCTCCACCATGATCACCATCACTGCCACCATCATCACCATCATCACCATCATCACCACCATCACCACCATCACCATCATCACCTCCACCACGATCACCATCACTGCCACCATCATCACCACCATCACCATCATCACCTCCACCACGATCACCATCACTGTCACCATCATCACCACCATCACCATCATCACTTCTACCACGATCACCATCACTGCCACCATCATCACCACCATCATCACCTCCACCACGATCACCATCACTGCCACCATCATCACCACCATCACCATCATCACCACCATCACCATCATCACCTCCACCACGATCACCATCACTGCCACCATCATCACCGCCATCACCATCATCACCTCCACCACGATCACCGTCACTGCCACCATCATCACCACCATCATCACCTCGACCACGATCACCATCACTGCCACCATCATCACCATCATCACCATCATCACCACCATCACCATCATCACCTCCACCACGATCACCATCACTGCCACCATCATCACCACCATCACCATCATCACCTCCACCACGATCACCATCACTGCCACCATCATCACCACCATCATCATCATCACCTCCACCACGATCACCATCACTGCTACCATCATCACCACCATCACCATCATCACCTCTACCACGATCACCATCACTGCCACCATCATCACCACCATCACCATCATCACCTCTACCACGATCACCATCACTGCCACCATCATCACCACCATCACCATCATCACCACCATCACCATCATCACCTCCACCACGATCACCATCACTGCCACCATCATCACCACCATCACCATCATCACCTCCACCACGATCACCATCACTGCCACCATCATCACCACCACGATCACCATCATCACCTCCACCACGATCACCATCACTGACACCATCATCACCATCATCACCTCCATCACGATCACCATCACTTCCACCATCATCACCACCACCATCACCATCATCACCTCCACCACGATCACCATCACTGCCACCATCATCACCTCCACCACCATCATCACCTCCACCACGATCACCATCACTGCCACCATCATAACCTCCACCACCATTATCACCTCCACCACGATCACCATCACTGCCACCATCATCACCACCATCACTGCCACCATCATCACCACCATCATCATCACCACAATCTCCATCACCACCTTAATCATAACCACCACAGAGGTGATGATGGCAGTGGTGCGACTCGCTACTAACAGCACTTGCCCCTACAGTCTGTTAGAGGCTACACGGGGGACCTTTGTCTGTGTCTACCTTCACAGGCACTGCTGCTACTCGCGACCCAACAGCACTTGCCCCTGCAGTCCGTTAGAGGCTACACGGGGGAGCTTTGTCTGTGTCTTCCTTCATAGGTGCTGCTGCTACTAACACCACTTGCCCCTACAGTCTGTTAGAGGCTAAACGGGGGACCTTTGTCTGTGCCTTTGCGCGCGTGCGCGTTGCTGGCCCCACGCGCCCCAGGTGCTCCGCGTGGTCCGCCTCATCAAGATCTCCCCGGCTCTGGAGGACTTCGTCTACAAGATCTTCGGGCCCGGCCGTAAGCTCGGCAGCCTGGTGATCTTCACCGCCAGCCTGCTGGTGGTCATGTCGGCTGTCAGCCTGCAGATGTTCTGCTTCGTCGCTGACCTGGACCGCTTCACCACCTTCCCCCGGGTCTCGCTGCTCATCCCCCCCACCCCCCCCTCCACCCACCCTTCTCTACCCACCCCCCCACCGCCACCCGCACGATGGTTGCCACATGACGATTGCCAGATCGTGATTGCCACATCACGATTGCCAGATCGCGATTGCCACATCACGGTTGCCAGATCGTGATTGCCACATCACGGTTTCCAGATTGTGATTTGCCGTATCACGGTTGGCCGACGACGATCGGCAGACGGTGATTGACGGATGGGTGATTTCCAGACGATGATTTGCCAGATCGTGATTGCCGCATCGTGGTTGACAGATCATGATTGACGTATCATGATTGACAGATCATGATTGACATATCATGATTGACAAATGATGATTGACGGATCATGATTGACAAATGATGATTGACTGATGATGATTTACATATCATGATTGACAAATGATGATTGACTGATGATGATTGACAGATCATGATTGACATATCATGATTGACAAATTATGATTGGCAGTTGATGATTGGCGGATCATGATTGACGGATCATGATTGACAGATGATATTTTGCTCGATGTGCTGAATGGCAATGATGTGCTGGGCAGTGCCGTGGGGGACGAGCCAATTTAGACTTCCCATTTCCCCAATGGCGTTTGTGTCCACCACAGCGGCCCAACGGGGGCTCTGGTTGGATACATGGGGCTGGTGACTTCTCCACCTTCAACTAAACTACTGCAATACCACAAATTATTTTTTAAACATAAGCTTGTGCCGGAGGCCCCGGGGTGACAGGCGTCTATGACGTCTCCTTTGCCAAACCCCAATTGGCGGAGCCAGGAGATTGAATCCCTACCCTCGGGTTCCTCCAGAAGCTGCAAAAAAGCTGCTGCGGATGGCCACGTGGGATGTTCGAACGCTCACTGCGGAGGAGAGGCTGCCATTCCTCTGTCGGGAGCCGGACCGTTACCGCATAGATATCTGTGGTAGTCAGGAGGTCCGGTGGATCGGCTCTGGCTCCTGCCACCAAGAGTGGGGGACAGTCCTCTACTCGGAGCAGGAGAATGGCAAACAACAGGATGTGGCTCTTCTTCTGAACAACAGGGGGTGTGTGAGCATGGCTGGAAGCCCCAGGCTACTTTGGGCTCGCCTTCCCATCAATGAGAGGCGAGGAGTGGTGGTCGTGGTTACTTATGCCCCCACCGAAGATTAACATTAGTGGAGAGATGCAGGCAAGGCCGATGAGTCAAATGCCTTCTATGTCCTCCTGTCACAGGTGCTGGCTAAAGTGGCCCCTCAGAATAGAGTCATCTTGTTGGGTGACTTCAATGCCCGAGTTGGCCATGATGCTAGCACCTGGTCTGGAGTAATTGGAGGGCATGGGCCAGATCAGCTCAATAACAACGGTAGGAGGCTGCTAGATTTTTGTGCAGCCCATGGGCTTGTAATTACCAACACGCTGTTCCGGCATCGGCGCATCCACGCAACATCATGGATGCATGCCGGGTCCAAGCAAGAACATCTGCTGGACTACGTAGTGACGGAACAGCGGATGCGGGCCCATGTCCTTGACACCAGGATCTACCGTGGAGCTGATCTGCCCACTGACCATCGACTTGTCATCTGTAAGATGCGCCTGCCATTCTTCCACTCCGGTGGTGGGTGTACACCCAGGACCTCATTGAAACCCATAGCGGCCTGGTCTCAGCTAGCTGATGAAAGTTGCAAGCAAGAATGTTATCATTGCTTGCATCTGGGGTTGGCATCGTCCCCCACTTCTCCTGATGTCGAGGGGAAATGGGCGAGGTTAAGGACTGTGGCTCATGCAGCTGCAATGGCTGCCTTGGGTACGCAGTCCAGACCTCCCCAGAGACTCTGGCTGACAGAGATGTTCAGGCTAGCTGAGAAAAAGCGACAGGCCCACTCTAATCGTCTACAGCATCACACATCAGAGAATGAGGCTTATGGCAGCCTTTGCTCAGAGGTTCGGAGAGCCGTGAGGCGCTGCAAGGAAGGGTGGTGGTCGCGGGTTGCTGAGGAGATGGAGTCTGCCTCAATGGCCCGCGATCCCAAATCCCTATTTAACATCAAAAAGTAACCTGCAGCGCCACACCTATTACCATCATTAGGGGAAATAACGGTGATCCAATCTCCGACCACCAGGAACAGGTTTGCAGATTTGCTGAGCATTTCTGTGAGGTCCTGGGGGGAGGGGGAATCCCTCAGCCTGGAAAACATCGTGGCACAAAGTGGGGATGACCCTACTGAGGCTGCGGTGCCTCAAATATTGGAAGAAGTCACCCCCTGTGAGTGGCTGGCTGACATGCCATCTGGTGAGGAAGTGCTGAGGGCGATCCGGAGTCTGAGACCAGGAAAGGCAGTGGGCAGAGATGATCTCCCAAGCACAATGCTGAGGGAGGGTGGCGTTTGTGCACAGAATGCCCTATATGACATCATAACAACAATTTCGATTTAAAGCTTTCGTGACTGCAAGGATTCATCTTCTTTGGTTCTTTCGGTAAAGTCACGTAGAATGAGAATAAAATAATAAAAAAACACAATAAAATTCTCACGACGTTTCGGCCACAAGACAGCCGCTTGCGTTATGGCCGAAACGTGAGAATTTTATTGTGTTATTTTATTATTTTATTCTCATTCTACGTGACTTTACCGAAAGAACCAAAGAAGATCATAACAACAGTCAGGACCACTGGACAGGTTCCGCAGGATTGGAAGGATGCCCTGGTGGTCCCCCTCTTTAAGAAGGGGGACCGCACAGACTGTAACAATTACAGGGGCATCTCACTTTTCAGTGTGCCGGGAAAGGCCATGGCAAGGATTATTCAACATCGCCTTGCTAGGCACGATGAGGAGAGGCGTGTGGAGCCCAATGGGGTCTCAGGAAAAGGCGGTCCTGCACAGATGCCATATTTTCTGTCCGTCTGCTACAGCAGAGGTGTAGGTAATTCCAACAAGACCTACATTTCTGCTTTATTGACCTGGTCAAGGCATATGATACCATCAGTAGGCCTGGGCTCTGGGCTGTTCTTCGTGCTTTCGGAGTCTCTGACCCTCTGCTCACGATCATTAAGGACCTTCATGATGGTGAGCGGGCCCGGGTAAAACTGCGTGGCTGGGAGTTAGAGCCATTTCCTGTACACCTTGGGGTGCGACAGGGATGTCCTCTGGCTCCCACATTATTTAACATCTATTTTTGACCACGTAGTTCGTGAAGCCTTCGATGGCTGTACCGGAGGAATTTCCATCTGGTGCAGATACAATAGGAGGATGATCGATGTCCAGGTGAGGTCCCTATAGGTCAACCATGTTATGTCTGTCATTGATCCGGTAATTGCTCTCAGAAGAGGAGTTGGAGGCACTGCTGCTGAACCTGGAGCGTTCCACTAATAGGTGGGGCCTTACCATCAGTCCCACCAAAACTAAGCACCTGCCTGGGTTTTTTGTACCATCAGGCACTCCACCCCCACAACTCCAAATTGGTGATGGGCAAGTTGTGGAGAGAGTGGAGAGTTTCTGATACCTGGGCAGTGTGCTTATGACCGACTCCCGTTTGATTGCAGAGGTCTCCGAAGCAGATGAGCGGCAATATATTTTCATTAGTTGCGTAACGCTGTGTGGAAGCTACCTGGTCTGTCGCTCCACACTAAGCTTCAGGTCTTCTCGTCCACAGTCATCCCCTCCCTTCTCGACGTTGCGAAACGTGGACCCTCCTAATCGAACATCTTCGCCGGTTGGAAACGTTCAGGCTGGCCTGCCTACGATCCATCCTGGGTTTAACCAGGCTTTTGTTCGGCCGGATCGAGGGGACCAAACGGGCGCGGCACGGGCTAGAGAAGAGATGGAGTGATGTGGTACAGGAAGATGTGGAGCTGAGTGGACTTGCCGATGACTGGTACCAGCGGTGTCAAGATCGGCCTCTGTGGAGGAGGCTCGTGAAGGATGCTACTGGACAATTGGAGGTAGTCGCCCTCCAACAACAACGGAGGGCGGAGGAGCGACGCTCACAACAACGAGCGGAGCGCCGGGTGGCTAAAGCAGAGCAGGTTGGCACAGTAGGGGGCACAGGTGGTGCATCAGCCAGTCGTCTCAGTCAGTCGACCCGTGGCACCTGGGTCTGCCCTGTGACCTCCTGCCAGCGGGTGTTGGACACTTCACGTGGCCTCAAGGTGCACATAGCCTGGCACAAGCGTCGTGGTGACGTCACCGCCACTTAGTGGCGAATGGCGGTTGTTGTTGTGTGTGTGTACGCCCATGTGTTGCAGAAGACAAAGGTGATCTTTGTCTCACTCCCTCACTTACTCATTCACCCACTCACCCACTCGCTCACTCACCCACTCGCTCACTCACTCCCTAACCCACTCGCTCACTCACCCGCTCGCGCACTCGCTCACCCACTCGCTCACTCACTTACTCACCCTCTCGCTCACTCACTTACTCACCCACTCGCTCACCCACTCGCTCACTCACTTACTCACCCTCTCGCTCACTCACTTACTCACCCACTCGCTCACCCACTCGCTCACTCACTTACTCACCCACTCGCTCACTCACTTACTCACCCACTCACTCACTTACTCACCCACCCGCTCGCCCACTCGCTCACTCACTCCCTAACCCACTCGCTCACTCACTCCCTAACCCACTCGCTTACTCACTCACTCACCCACTCACTCACTTACTCACCCACTCACTCACTTACTCACCCACTCGCTCACCTACTCACTCACCCACTCACTCACCCACTCACCCACCCACTCGCTCACTCACTCACCCACTCGCCCACTCATTCACTCAGTCACCAAGGTGACCTCTGTCTTCTGGACGTGTTCGTGTGCGCAGGCCTTCATGTCCATGTTCCAGATCCTGACGCAGGAGGGCTGGGTGGACGTTATGGACCAGACCATGCAGGCCGTGGGCCACGTGTGGGCTCCAGTCGTCGCTGTCTATTTCATCGTCTACCACCTCTTCGCTACCCTTGTGGGTCCTCCTCGATGCCCGCCCCCCATCGATCGATCGCCCGCTCGCCCGCTCGCTCACTCACTCACCCACTCACTCACTCACTGACTCACTCACTCACTCACTGACTCGCTCACTCACTCACTCACCCACTCACCCATTCACTCACTCACTCACTGACTCACTCACTAAACCACTCACTCACCCCCTGACTCGCTCACTCACTCACCTGCTCGGCCGCTCGCCCGCTCGCCCGCTCGCTCACTCAGCCACTCACTCACCCGCTGACTCGCTCACTCACTCACTCACCCACTCACTCACTCACACACACACACTCACTCACCTGCTCGCTCGCCCGCTCGCCCGCCCACTCGCTCGCCGGCTGGCCCGCTCGCTCACTCACTCACCCACTGACTCACTCACCCACTCACTCACCCACCCACTCACCGCTGACTCACTCACTCACTCACTGACTCGCTCACTCACTCACCCACTCACTCACCCACCCACTCACCCGCTGACTCGCTCAATCACCCACTCACTCACCTGCTCGCTCGCTCACTCGCCCACTCGCTCGCTCGCACACTCACTCACCCGCCTGTCATCTCAACCACTCACTCACTTGCATGCCCACTCACTCACTCACACGTTCGCTCACTGACTCACCTACTCACTCACCCACTCACTCACCCACTCGCTCGCTCACTCACTCACTTACTCCCCTACTCACCCACCCACTTGCTCGCTCACTCACTCACACAGTTACCCACCTACTCACCCACCTGCCATCTCACTCACTCACTCACCCAATCACTCACCGACCTGCCATCTTACTCAATCGCTCACCCAAGCACACCCACTCAACCACACAGTGGGCGAGTCAGTGAGTCTGTGTGTGGTGAGTCTGTGTGTGGTGAGTCTGTGTGTGGTGAGTCTGTGTGTGGTGAGTAGTCTGTGAGGGGTGAGTCTGTGTGGTGAGTAGTCTGTGTGGTGAGTCTGTGTGTAGTGAGTAATCTGTGTGTGGTGAGTCTGTGAGTGGTGAGTCTGTGTGTGGTGAGTCTGTGTGTAGTGAGTCTGTGTGTGATGAGTAGTCTGTGTGTAGTGAGTAGTCTGTGAGTGGTGAGTCTGTGAGTGGTGAGTCTGTGAGTGGTGAGTCTGTGTGGTGAGTCTGTGTGTGGTGATTAGTCTGTGTGTGGTGAGTAGTATGTGTGTAGTGAGTCTGTGTGTGGTGAGTCTGTGTGTGGTGAGTCTGTGAGTGGTGAGTCTGTGTGTGGTGAGTAGTCTATGTGGTGAGTCTGAGTGGTGAGTCTGTGTGTGGTGAGTCTGTGTGTGGTGAGTAGTCTGTGTGTGGTGGTGAGTAGGTGGTGAGTAGGTGGTGAGTAAGTGGTGAGTAGGTGGTGAGTCTGTGAGTGGTGAGTAGGTGGTGAGTAGGTGGTGAGTAGCTGTGTGTGGTGGTGAGTAGGTGGTGAGTAGGTGGTGAGTAGTCTGTGTGTGGTGAGTCTGTGTGTGGTGAGTCTGTGTGTGGTGTCTGTGTGGTGAGTCTGTGTGGTGAGTCTGTGTGTGGTGAGTAGTCTGTGTGTGGTGAGTCTGTGTGTGGTGAGTAGTCTGTGTGTGGTGAGTAGTCAGTGTGTGGTGAGTCTGTGTGGTGAGTCTGTGTGTGGTGAGTCTGTGTGGGGTGAGTCTGTGTGTGGTGGTGAGTAGGTGGTGAGTAGGTGGTGAGTAAGTGGTGAGTAGGTGGTGAGTAGTCTGTCTGTGGTGGTGAGTAGGTGGTGAGTAGGTGGTGAGTAATCTGTGTGTGGTGAGTCTGTGTGTGGTGAGTCTGTGTGTAGTGAGTCTGTGTGTGGTGAGTCTGTGAGTGGTGAGTCTGTGTGTGGTGAGTCTGTGTGTGGTGAGTCTCTGTGTCTGGTGGGTCTCTGTGTGGTGAGTCTGTGTGTGGTGAGTCTGTGTGTGGTGAGTCTGTGTCTGGTGGGTCTCTGTGTGGTGAGTCTGTGAGTGGTGAGTCTGTGTGTGGTGAGTAGTCTGTTTGTAGTGAGTCTGTGTGTGGTGAGTCTGTGAGTGGTGAGTCTGTGTGTGGTGAGTCTGTGTGTGGTGAGTCTGTGTGTGGTGAGTAGTCTGTGAGTGGTGAGTCTGTGTGTGGTGAGTGGTGAGTAGTCTGTGAGTGGTGAGTCTAAGTGGTGAGTCTGTGTGTGGTGAGTCTGTGTGTGGTGAGTAGTCTGTGTGTGGTGGTGAGTAGGTGGTGAGTAGGTGGTGAGTAAGTGGTGAGTAGGTGGTGAGTCTGTGAGTGGTGAGTAGGTGGTGAGTAGGTGGTGAGTAGTCTGTGTGTGGTGGTGAGTAGGTGGTGAGTAGGTGGTGAGTAGTCTATGTGTGGTGAGTCTGTGTGTGGTGAGTCTGTGTGTGGTGAGTAGGTGGTGAGTAGGTGGTGAGTAGTCTCTGTGTGGTGGTGAGTAAGTGGTGAGTAAGTGGTGAGTAGTGGTGAGTAAGTGGTGAGTAAGTGGTGAGTAGTCTCTGTGTGGTGTTGAGTAAGTGGTGAGTAGTGGTGAGTAGTGGTGAGTGAGTGGTGAGTAAGTGGTGAGTAAGTGGTGAGTAGTCTCTGTGTGGTGGTGAGTGAGTGGTGAGTAGGTGGTGAGTAGGTGGTGAGTAGTGGTGAGTAAGTGGTAAGTGGTGAGTAGGTGGTGAGTAAGTGGTGAGTAAGTGGTGAGTAGACTCTGTGTGGTGGTGAGTAAGTGGTGAATAGACTCTGTGTGGTGGTGAGTAAGTGGTGAGTAAGTGGTGAGTAGGTGGTAAGTGGTGAGTGAGTGGTGAGTAAGTGGTGAGTAAGTGGTAAGTGGTGAGTAAGTGGTGAGTATGTGGTGAGTAAGTAGTGAGTGAGTGGTGAGTAAGTGGTGACTAGGTGGTGAGTAAGTGGTGAGTAAGTGGTGAGTAGTCTCTGTGTGTGTTACCCCACAGATCCTGCTCAGTCTGTTCGTTGCCGTCATCCTGGACAACCTGGAGCTCGATGAAAACCTCAAGAAACTCAAACAGGTGATGTGTTTACACAAAGACAAAGGTCTCCCGTGTAGCCTTCACAGGCTGTAGGGGCAAGTACTGTTAGTAACGAGTAGCAGCACCTATGAAGGTAAACACAGACAAAGGTCCCCCGTGTAGCCTCTAACAGACTGTAGGGGCAAGTGCTGTGAGTAGCGAGTAGCAGCAGCGCCTGTGAAGGTAGACACAGACAAAGGTCCCCCGTGTAGCCTCTAACAAACTGTAGGGGCAAGTGCTGTTAGTAGCGAGTAGCAGCAGCACCTGTGAAGGTAGACACAAAGGTCTCCCGTGTAGCCTCTAACAAGCTGTAGGGGCAAGTGCTGTGAGTAGCGAGTAGCAGCAGCGCCTGTGAAGGTAGACACAGACAAAGGTCCCCCGTGTAGCCTCTAACAGACTGTAGGGGCAAGTGCTGTTAGTAGCGAGTAGCAGCAGCGCCTGTGAAGGTAGACACAGACAAAGGTCCCCCGTGTAGCCTCTAACAAACTGTAGGGGCAAGTGCTGTTAGTAGCGAGAAGCAGCAGCACCTGTGAAGGTAGACACAGACAAAGGTCCCCCGTGTAGCCTCTAACAAGCTGTAGGGGCAAGTGCTGTGAGTAGCGAGTAGCAGCAGCGCCTGTGAATGTAGACACAGACAAAGGTCCCCGGTGTAGCCTCTAACAGACTGTAGGGGCAAGTGCTGTGAGTAGCGAGTAGCAGCAGCACCTATGAAGGTAGACACAGACAAAGGTCCCCCGTGTAGCCTCTAACAAGCTGTAGGGGCAAGTGCTGTGAGTAGCGAGTAGCAGCAGCGCCTGTGAATGTAGACACAGACAAAGATCCCCCGTGTAGCCTCTAACATGCTGTAGGGGCAAGTGCTGTGAGTAGCGAGTAGCAGCACCTGTGAAGGTAGACACAGACAAAGGTCCCCGGTGTAGCCTCTAATAGACTGTAGGGGCAAGTGCTGTGAGTAGCGAGTAGCAGCAGCACCTATGAAGGTAGACACAGACAAAGGTCCCCCGCGTAGCCTCTTACAGACTGTAGGGGCAAGTGCTCTTAGCGAGTAGCACTTTTGAAGGCCAGAAAGCACACGAGGGGGTGGGTGGCCAACACCACGCCCGGCCGCCTTTGTCTCCCCAGTGGCGATGTTTTACTAACACACAGCACCAGGTACTAATTTGAGGCTGAGTCGACCGAGCGGAGGCCCGGGTCTGCAATGACCACCTGTCACAGGTGGTAGTTAAAGTGGCCCCTCGGGATAGAGTAATCTTGTTGGGTGACTTCCATGCCAGAGTTGGTCATAATGCTGGCACCTGGTCTGGAATGATTGGAGGGCATGAGCCAGATCATCTCAATAGGGCTGCGTCCTTTCCCCTCTGCTCTTCTCCCTGTATACCAACAGCTGCACCTCCAATCATCTGTCCGTCAAACTATTGAAGTTTGCGGATGACACCACCCTCATTGGGCTGATCTCTGGTGGGGATGAGTCTGACTATAGGTGGGAAGCTGACAATCTGGTGACCTGGTGTAGCCAGAACAACTTAGAGCTAAATGCTCTAAAGACAGTTGAGATGGTTGTGGACTTCAGGAAGAATACAGCACCACTCACCCCCATCACCCTGTTAGACTCCCCAGTAAAAATTGTAGAGTCCTTCCGCTTCCTGGGCACTATTCTCTCCCGGGACCTCAAGTGGGAATTGAACATCAGCTCCCTCACCAAGAAAGCTCAACAGAGGATGTACTTTCTACGGCAGCTGAAGAAATTCAACCTGCCAAAGACAATGATGGTGCAATTCTATACAGCGATCATTGAATCCATCCTCACCTCCTCCATAACCGTCTGGTACGCTGCTGCCACTGCCAAGGACAAGAGCAGACTGCAGCGTATCATCCACACTGCTGAGAAGGTAATTGCCTGCAATCTACCGACCCTCGAGGACCTGCACACGACAAGGTCTATGAGGCGAGCGAGGAAGATTATGGCCGATTTCTCCCACCCTGGACACTCTCTGTTTCAGCTACTCCCCTCCGGCAGAAGGCTTCGGTCCATCAGGACCAAAACCTCACGCCATAAAAACAGTTTCTTCCCATCTGCTGCTGGCCTGTTAAACAAGGCCAAGGGCTAACACTGTTTTTAACATTTGATCTACATAACGACACGTTGCTGATATTAACTATGTTTCCCTATTTGTATTTTTAAATTATATCTTAAAGCTATTTTATAATCGATATTTATTTTATTTTATATACTTCAGCCCCTTAGTGTTAGACTTTTAACCCTTATTATAGTAAGACTTGTTTAAAACTTATTTAAGATTTTAGATTCCTATATGTTGAATGTATGCACCATCCTGCCAAAGTAAATTCCGTGTCGGTGTGAACTTACATGGCGAATAAAACCCTTTCTGATTCTGATTCTGAAATAGGAGGCTGCTAGACTTCTGTGCAGCCCATGGGCTTGTAATTACCAACACGCTGTTCCGGCATCGGCGCATCCACACAACATCATGGATGCACGCCGGGTCCAAGCAAGAACATCTGCTGGACTACATAGTGACGGACCAGCGGATGCGAGCCCATGTCCTTGACACCAGGACCTACCGTGGAGCTGATCTGCCCTTTGACCATCGACTAGTCATCTGTAAGATGGGCCTACCCATTCTTCCACTCCGGTGGTGGGTGTACACCCAGGACCCCATTCAAACCCCAAAGTGCCCTGGGTCTCAGCGAGCTGATGAAAGTTTGCAAGCAGGAATTTCAACATCGCTTGCGGCTGGGGTTGGCATCGTCCCCCACTCCTCCTCATGCCGAGGGGGACATAGGCGAGGTTCAGGACTGTGGTTCATGCAGCTGCAATGGCTGCCTTGGGTACGCAGTCCAGACCTCCCCAGAGACCCTGGCTGAAGGAGGATTTGTTCCGGCTGGTTGAGAGATAACGACAGGCCCCGCTCGCCGCCATCTACAACATCCAACATTGGAGAATGAAGACGTTCGGAGAGCCGTGAGGCGCCGCAAGGATGGGTCGTGGTTGCGGATTGCGATGCGTCAGCCGTCGCCATCCTTATGGGAAAGAACGGTGATCCAATCTCCGATTCCCAGGGAGAGCACTGCAGATTTGCCAAGGATTTCTACGAGGCCTTGCGGGGAGGGGAATTCCCTCAGGCCAGACGACATCGTGGGTGGAGGTTGGGACGACCCTTCCTGAGGCTGCTGTGCCTCAAATATTGGCAGTAGTAGCCAACCCCCTCTGTTGCGGAAGTACTGAGGGCGATCCGGAGTCTCAAACCAGGAAAAAGCGCCGGGCAGAGATGATCTCCCAAGCGAAATGCTGAGGGAGGGTGGCGTCTGTCTGCAGACTGCCCTACGTGACATCACCACAACTGTCTGGACCACTGGACGGGTTTCCGCAGGATTGGAAGGATGCCATGGTGGTCCCCCTCTTTAAGAAGGGGGACGGCACAGACTGTAACAGCTACAGGAGCTTCTCACTCCTCAGTGTGCCGGGATAGGTCCTGGCAAGGATTATTCAACATCGCCTTGCCAGGCACGCTGAGGAGAGGCTTGCGGAGCCCCAATGCGGTTTCAGGAAAGGGCGGTCCTGCACAGATGCCATATTTTCTGCCCGTCTGCTACAGCAGAAGTGTAGGGAATTCCAGCAAGACCTACATCTCTGCTTTATTGACCTGGTCAAGGCCTATGATACCATCAGTAGGCCTGGGCTTTGGGTTGTTCTTCGTGCTTTCGGAGTCCCTGACCATCTGCCCACGATCAACAAGGACCTTCATGATGGTGAGCGGGCCCGGGTAAAACTACGTGGCCGGGAGTCAGAGCCATTCCCTGTACACCTTGGGGTGCGACAGGGATGTCCTCTGGCTCCCACGTTATTTAACATCTATTTCGACCACTTAGTTCGTGATGCCTTCGATGGCCATACCGGAGGAATTTCCATCTGTTACAGATACAATAGGAGGCTGATGGATGCCCTGGTGCGGTCAAGGGATGGCTTCCTGTTGGTTAACCACGTTATGTGTGCCGATGACCTGGCAATTGCTACTCACTCAAAGGAGGAATTGGAGGCGCTGCTGCTGAATCTGGAGTGTGCCACTAAGAGGTGGGGCCTTACCATCAGCCCCAGCAAAACTAAGCACCTGCCTAGGTATGTTGTGCCATCGGACACTCCACACCCACAACTCCGAATTGATGATTGGGCAGTTGTGGAGAGAGTGGAGAATTTCCCATACCTGGGCAGTGTGCTCATGACCGACTCTGGTTTAACAGCAGAGGTCTCACTTCGAATCAGTCGAGCGGCAATATCTTTTCATCGGTTGCGTAACACTGTGTGGAAGTTACCTGGTCTGTCGCTCCTCACTAAGCTTCAGGTCATCTCGGTCGCGGTCATTCCCTCCCTTCTCTACGCTTGCGAAACGTCGACCCTCTAAATGGAACATCTTCGCCGGTTAGAAACATTTAGGCTGGTCTGCCTACGATCAATTCTGGGTTTAACCAGGCTGGATTGTGTGAGGAGCTCACAAATCCTCGAAAGATCTGGGCAAGGTCCCATTGGTGAGCTCCTCCGGCAGGCAAGGCGGCGTTGGCTTGTCAAGGCCTATGATACCATCAGTAGGCCTGGTCTATGGGTCTGTGCCGTGACCTCCTGTGTGTGAACTCTCCCTCCGTGTCTCTCTGTGATCTCTCTCTGTCTCTCTGTGATCTCACTGTCTCTCTGTCTCTCTATCTCTGTCTCTCTGTCTCTCTGTCTCTGTCTCTTTGTCTCTCTATCTCTGTCTCTCTATCTCTGTCTCTCTGTCTGTCTCTCTGTGATCTCTCTCTGTCTGTGATCTCTCTGTCTCTATGATCTCCCTGTCTCTCTGTCTCTCTGTCTCTCTGTGATCTCACTGTCTCTCTGTGATCTCTCTCTGTGTCTGTGATCTCTCTCTGTCTCTGTGATCTCCCTGTCTCTCTGTCTCTGTCTCGCTGTGTCTCTGAGATCTCTCTCTGCCTCTGTGATCTGTCTCTCTATCTCTGTCTCTCTGTGTCTGTCTCTCTGTGTCTCTCTGTCTCTGTGTCTCTGTCTTTGTCCCCTTGTGAGGGAGCAGCTGAAACAGAGTGAGGCGAACGCCGACACGAAGGAGAAGCTGCCGCTGTGTCTCTGTGTCTCTGTGTCTCTGTCTCTCTGTCTCTCTGTGTCTCTGTGTCTCTCTGTGTCTCTCTGTGTCTCTATCTCTGTGTCTCTGTCTCTGTGTCTCTGTCTCTCTGTGTCTTTCTGTGTCTCTGTCTCTCTGTGATCTCTGTGATCTCTGTGTCTCTGTCTCTCTGTGTCTCTCTGTCTCTGTGTCTCTGTCTCTCTGTGATCTCTCTGTCTCTGTCTCTCTGTGTCTCTGTCTCTCTGTGATCTCTCTGTCTCTCTCTGTGTCTCTGTCTCTCTGTCTCTCTGTGTCTGTGTCTCTCTGTGATCTCTCTATCTCTGTGTCTCTGTGATCTCTCTATCTCTCTCTCTCTCTGTGTCTCTGCGATCTCTCTATCTCTGTCTCTCTCTCTGTGTCTCTGTGATCTCTCTATCTCTGTCTCTCTCTCTGTGATCTCTCTATCTCTGTCTCTCTGTGTCTCTGTCTCTGTCTCTCTCTCTGTGATCTCTCTGTGTGATGGAGCAGCTGAAACAGAGCGAGGCGAACGCAGACACGAAGGAGAAGCTGCCACTGTGTCTCTGTGTCTCTGTATCTCTCTATCTCTGTCTCTCTGTGTCTCTGCGTCTCTGTGTCTCTGTCTCTCTGTCTCTCTCTGTGTCTCTGTGTCTCTGTCTCTCTGTGTCTCTGTCTCTCTGTGTCTCTGTCTCTCTCTCTGTGATCTCTCTCTGTGTTTCTGTCTCTCTGTGTCTCTGTCTCTCTGTGATCTCTCTGTCTCTCTCTGTCTCTCTGTGATCTCTCTGTGTCTCTGTGATCTCTGTGTCTCTGTGATCTCTCTGTGTCTCTGTCTCTCTGTATCTCTCTATCTCTCTGTCTCTCTGTGTCTCTGCGTCTCTGTGTCTCTGTCTCTCTGTCTCTCACTCTCTATGTGTCTCTGTCTCTCTCTCTCTGTGATCTCTCTCTGTCTCTCTGTGTCTCTGTCTCTCTGTGATCTCTCTGTCTCTCTCTGTCTCTCTGTGATCTCTCTGTGTCTCTGTGATCTCTCTGTGTCTCTGTGATCTCTCTGTGTGATGGAGCAGCTGAAACAGAGCGAGGCGAACGCCGACACGAAGGAGAAGCTGCCGCTGCGTCTCCGCATCTTCGAGAGGTTCCCCAACAAGCCCCAGATGGTGAAGATCTCCAAACTGCCCTCACTCTTCTCCGTGCCCAAGATACG